TTTACTGTTAGACATTTAGGTTGTCAGTCAGCTTTCTATCACTATGACAAAACAACTAGGATAACCAACTGTTAAGAAGGAAAGCTTTTAGTCTCATAGTTTCAGAGATTTCTGTCTCTTGGTCCATTGTTTTGAGGCCTACAGGAGGCAGCACATGGTAAGAGCATGTAGCAAGAATAATTGTTTACCTCATGACAGCCAAGAGGCAAAGAGAAAGACAAGAGGAGACTAGGGCCCAATCAGTACCCTTTCAAGGGCACATACTCAGTGACCTCACTTCCTCCCAATAAACCCCACGTCTTTTAAAAATTTTTATGTTTGCCAGTACTTGTTTGCAGTATGTAATAATTACATTCATTTTAGGAAAATGTTTCACTATTTCCAATCTGTGATCACCTGGGCCTTTGGAGGTCCATTGAAACCACAGCAGGTCATCTGCACTCTTTCTCTAGGATAATGCTACAATGAACAACCTTACATATATCCGTCTGTACACAGATTAGTTTTATTTTGTTTCACCAAATTATTTTCTAATGTGGTTATGCTCATTTCACCAGCAATCTTTCTGTGACAATATCTCCTGTATAAATAAAAATTATTTAAAGTTATTCATATTATTAAGTTATGTTCAGTGCCAATGCTTATAATATGTTAATCCCATTATAATTTGTTTTGCACTTCTGTCTCTCCAATAAGATTGGATTATCTTCTTATAAAGTTGTTTGCCATTTGCATTTTTATGTCTATGAATGCTATATTCTTTGTGTTTTTCTTATTATTTTGCTTTCATTTCATTGATTAATTGTATCATGTACATATTCTTAATCCATATTTCATTAATTGTCTATAATCACAGTTGTTGGTCTTTTTCTTTGTTTTTATAGGCTAGTTCTTATTACTTTCTACATGTTAAGCCCTTGTTACCCCAAATGTAATCTATGAACCAGCAACAGCAACTGAAAATATGTTAAAAAACAGATTCCTTAGGTCTACTCTATACCTGCAAAATAAGAATGTGAATTTTGTGGTACTGTGGTTTAAACCATGACCTTTACACTGAGCTACATCTCTACCTTTATTTCACTTTTTATTTACAGACAAGTTCTCTTTAATTTGCTAAGTCACCTAGGTTGAGCCTCCTTTCTCATTCTCTTAGAACTGTAGGAATACAGGTATACAACATTATACCTGGTTAAGAAACTCACTTTTACCAGCATCACTAAGTGACTTGTATACAAATTAAGGATCTTAAAATACTGGATCAAATAACTAAAAAGATAACAAATGTGAAAAGTTTTCTTCTCTGGGTAGTGACACTATAGACTACCTGCCTTTGCTTCCTTTATTATAAGTAAAACTCCTTGCCTTTCGATCTATGAGTCCTCAGTTTGTATATCTTAGACTTGCACTAAAAAAATCATAAACCAAAGAAGCCATTAGAGCCTATTTTGTAAACGTGAGTGTTTTCAAGACATTAACAATGGAATTTTCTAAGAGTGGACATCTGTTTCTCTAATTTCAAATAGATAAACAGTGATGAGAGTGCATTGTAATATGGCTCAAAATTCAAAACTTTGAGGTTTTTATGAATGGTGTCGTGAAAGAAATGAATTCAGCTAGGGAGCATAATCCATCACATTTCTGTTTGTTCATACATGTCTCTATTTTTAGTTGAGACAAAATGTTCCATAAATGAATAACAAGCAGGATTAATAGAGGAAATCACCAAGACTTACACTTGTTGTCTGATATGTGATGACTTCTGTGTATCAACATGGTTTCCTGAGAAATATCTGAGTGTTTAGCCATGCATGCAGATGGCATCAAAAGAACACAACTGCACTCAGAGTCTTAAGGAAAATTGTATTACGTAGTACCCTGCCTTCTTTAGTATGATGGAGTAACTCCATGGTCTGGAGCTATCTGACTGCAGGGATTGTGGTGGAAGTATTTACTGTCAGTAAATGACTAAGGGCTGCCCCACATTTCCAGTCTCCCAGTAGAATATACAAATCCATAACACCAGATCTGGTTAACAGATTTTGAAGAAAAACGTGTCACTATAGGACTGAAATTTTTAATTTTCTGATCCTTCTCTCTCTTTCTTGCTCTGCTAAAGTAACAAAAGTGGTCATGAATTGCATATGATACATCTATAAAGTAGTTGAACCTCTACCAGAATCCTAGCCTCTTGTGTAACCAGGTGGAGCTGTTTGCTCTATTGTCTCACATTGGACATGTAGCATAAATTACAAAGAAAGTTCTTTGTTTGTGTTAAACCACTGAGATTTCTGTGCTTGCATTGTAGGATGGGCTGGGTCTTGCTGACTAATATAGTTAGCCTAGCCAACTCATTAATAGCTTAAACTATTGAGTGCACCAAGCTGTAAGTTTTACATGCATAAAAACAATCTTCTGAGGTGGACAATATTGTATTATCATAAATTGTAGGATAGGTATGCTCTAGGACTATATTATAGCTACATGTATGACATAACTCTAAAGCATATATATATCAGTAGTGTGTAGATATTATCTGTTACGGTTTATAACTAGATGACCCCCAAGAGCCTCATGTGCTCATAGGTGGAGCTTTGGGAAAGTGATTGAATTATGGTGGTAATATAGCTGATTTGCTGTTAGGAAGTGGGCACTGGTTATAGGTAGGTCACTTAGGGAGTGATCTGGAGGATATATCTCGGTCCCTGGCTTCTCCTCTTCTCTTTTTGTTTCTTGGCTGTCACAATGGAAGCATCTTTTTGTTTGCCTCTGCTTTAAGGTCTTGTGTGTTCAAGGCTGACCTGATACTCTATGTATACCATCTACCTACCTCCAGTCTCCTGTCTCCCTCCTCAGTGTATTTCATTTCCATAAGTGGTATCTCCTTCCTCCACTTGCTTACATTGAAAAACTAAAATTAGGGCCACATCAGTACCTATGAGAGGGCTTAGCATCAAAATGTGCTTCACTGTATTCTGAAATTTAAAAATACCAACTGAAATCATATTATAACTAAAACAAGTCTTCAAAAATTCAGATTTTCCCATAGTGACTTTTATGATCCTTTAAGAATACCAAATCCTTTTCAAAACAATTTAGGACCCCTTTTGCCATTGGTCTAACAGTTTTTTGGTATTCCAGCAGTTTCCAGGAGTCAATAATTTGATATCATTTCTTCTTGCTGCCTAAAATATTTTCAAATATGACTGCTTCTTTGTGATGTCAATGTACTGAACTCCAAGCCAGTCACTGCTCCAATTTACTTTCTACAAAACAGCCAGGTTGGGCAGAATGATTTCAGGAACCCGCATAACTGATCCTGTTCTGTTGCTGTATTGCTTAAAACTCTTCAATGGTTTTCCATTGTTCTTGGAATTAAAATCTCAGAATTGTTAACAGGCCGAAAACTCTTATCACCTTACCTAGAGTCAGTTATTTAAATTCTTGGAAAGAGCCAAATTTGTTATGTGCCTTTGCATAAAATTTACTGTGCTCAGAGTTCTCTCTTCTGCTTCAACTTCTCCTTTAGTTCTTAGACTTAATGTCCTCGCTTCAGATAAGCCTTTCTTAACATCCCACCTGTTGAAGTCAGGTTTTACAAGGGAAAAGACTGACTACAGAACACATAGTTTATAATATTCACCCAAAGAGTCAAATGCAAAAGTATGGGAAATCTGCCCACACACTAGAGACCCAAAGAATCCAGCTGAGTACTTGGATTCCATGGCAGTATCTTGCACAAATCCAGCTGAAGACCTAGAGACCAAGGCAATATTCTCCACAAGTCTATCTGGAGGCCCAAAGCCCACAGCAATATTTCATTTGAGGATCTGCACTGAAAACACCCCAAAGGTCAGTAATGGAAGCTAGAAAGTCTGTGCCAGCAGTTTGAGAGATCTGCACTGGAGCCAGGACACTCAAAGTAAGGACCAGAGCTCACTTGAACCACAGCCATCCTTGGTGACAGCAAGGACCTGAGCTCCTCCAGTGATGAAAACAGTTTAGTTCGTATCAGGAAAACCTGCGTGACAAGCTTCTTCAGGAGACAAAAAGAGCCATTATCCCTTCTGGTTCTGCTTTTAGGTTATTGGCAATGATCCTCAGCTGGGCCTTCCACACCTGGAACCATGCTGATTTAGTTCAGCTGGGTGTTACAAGCTGACCTTTAGTTAACCCACCACACCACCCCAGATCAATGCTCCTTATTAAATACTTTCTTAGTACTCCTGACTTTGCTTTGTAAGGAAGTGATTGCATGTGCAATCGATAGTTTGATCTCTTCTCACTGTTGCAATGGAAACTTCCTGAGAAAGAGTTGATAACACACTCAATATACACAAGTAACACTAGAATCTTTGAACCCAACTTTTTCTGATTCTAGAGCTCTTGCTCACAACTACCACAGATACTTAAATGTACTCATCTGGCAAGATGGATTTTTGCCTTTTTTATTTTATGGCAGTAAGTAATGATGCACTGGAAACCAAGGCTTGATTAGAAAATACAATTTGGTTGAGTGAATTTTATACACTTCAGGTTTTTCTTCCTCTGGGAGGACACAGGCAGGCTGTTTAGGCCACAGTACAGAATAGTTGAGTTGAGCTACACCCCTGTATTCCTGATACTACTATATACACAGTTGTAAATAAGGATGGTGTTAATCACCCTACACCGTTGCAATGCACTTATTTGTTCAATATCTATTTAATGAGCAGCTAGAATATGCTAGGCCTCAGTTGACATCCTCAGGATAATTGCAAATTAGGATGCAAAATGTTTAGTAGAGTGTCTCATTTATTTGTTACAGATGATCACTTAAAAATGTTGTCATAGCCATGTGTATACATGTATCCCTCAGCTGAACTGAGTATGTGAGATTAGTGACTTTTGTCATTATCTGCTTAGGGGTCACTTTAACTCTGGTGGCCTAAAAGCAACCATCACTACTATTCTAGCGTGGTGTGGCTGCACCTCCCCTCCAGACCGCCAGAGGGCGCAAGATCTCCAACACCCTTCCCGCTGCATCTGCCACTCCATCCATTTCGCTCTATCTCAGGCGGCCTCCACGCCTCTTGCCCTAAAGCTCCGCCTTTGTTGCCCCTAGCGGCTGTTTGTTGACTTCCGGGAGCACCGTGGTAACAAGTGCCAGGAGGGTCGCTGCGGGGGTCTCGCGGCCTTCCGCGGCCGCTAGCAGGAATGAGGCCCTGTCCTAGGCCCCAACGAGCCGCTCCTGCTGTCTTCCCGGCCCAGGGGCTAAGTCTCTGTACCACCCGAGGCATGGGGGAGCCCGAGACGCTGGTTCCCGGTGAGTCGCGCTCGCGGCAGTGGCGACTGGCCGGGAAGGGAAGGTCCGCGGGCGGGCAGGCGGCCAGGCCCCGCCTTCGGGCCGGCCCCGTTGGGCTCTGGGCAAGAGCTGGAGCCGCCTGACTGAAGACTGAGCTGGGCCGCGCCTCAGGAGTAACTGAGGGGAGCAGTCAGGAGCTGATAGGAGACAGTGGGAAAGGGGTTCATGTCTTAGAATTTCGACCCGTTTCCGAAGGCAGGGGCACTTCTTACCTGTTATAAACTTGCCAAAGTACCTGGTTCAGATTCAAGTACTTTGGAGGTCTCCGGGTCCTAGTTGTGTATTGAATAAAGCAGTACAAAGTGGATGAGCAGAGATTGTGAGGAAAAGGAAATGGAAGAAATGAGTTGAAGGGAGAAAAGAGAGCCTTTAGCGAGTTTTTTTTTAAAAGACTTTTCCCCGCAGCCCTACAGTTTGAAATACGTTTGACTGTGATCTGATAAGCACCTGAATACTGTTAAGAGGAATAGATGTTTCACGAAGCAATGCTTGTTACCATCAGTTGGGATGCACTAAAAGCATTTCTATAATATATTCGGCTAAAAAGGCGGACTGCGACTCGCTCAATTGATTTTTTGACTCATTAATGTGTGGGAACTGAGCGTTTGAAAACACAATGGGTTGGAGCAGCCTTATACATTTACTAACATATGTATTGTGTTTTCTATCATGCTTCTGACTCAAACACAATTAGATTCCTGCCATCTAGAGTTCACAGTTTAGTAAGAGACACGAGAAAGTAAATAAAATGACAATATGGGTGGACAGATGCCAGATCAGAGCCATCAAATCCCTGCTTGGACTGAGGGTATCAGGATTCCTGGGGAGCCAGGACAAAATGGTTAAAATTATTTATTTTGGGGAAACCTGAGCCTGTTCTGAAGCCTGCCTCCCAACTCTCAGTTACTAAATTGAATTGCAGTGCCTCATAGTTTCTAAAGGTTCTCCTTAATGGCTAGTCTCTTATATATTGTTATTTATTATTAATATTTATATTCACTATGTCTTTCTGTTATCAAGTAATTTCTTTATGTGTGATCATCCTTGGGATTTCCTCCCAAGCTAGATCTAGTTTCATATTTGTGTGTGTGTGTGTGTGTGTGTATGTATGTGTGTGTTTAAATAGTTACAGAGAACTAGTATATAGATTTGTTGTCTTCAAAACTACTGGACAAAAACAGTTTGTACTACGCAGGTCAAGTAATGAAGTAGTTTAAGATGCCTCTCTGATCTCCTGGAGCCATGGTACTTTGCGATGGTGTTTTCTGGGAATAACATATTGTATAGCTTCCTTGCCTTTATAGAGTTTATAGAGGGAAATCTAACTATAGAACATGAATAAGATAATGAGAACTTTCTTGATTGGTTCTATTAAGAGAATTCTTCATTTTATGCTGAATTCCTAAACTGAGTTTCTGGATGTCCTCAGTAGAAATATAAGAAAAAGTGAAATGTTTCTGTGTTGGAGACCTTAATCTGCTGTCTTTACATTAAAAATATTTATTTGACTACCTACACCATTATGATGACCTGAAAACAGTTATGAACAGTTATGTGTGTTGCGGGGGAACTTTTTTGTCTAAAAAGTAAAACACACTTAAAAATAACTGGTGTTTATTAAAGGGCTACTTTGTTTAAAGGAATATAGTTAGTGAGGAGAGTTTACACTATGAGTAGCTTTAGAATATAGTTAGAAAACCAGAATATTGATTAAACTTTTATAGTAGAGGAAGAATTTACAGGGGCAGATATGAATTAACATGTTGAGGATGCTAGTACTGAACTAAGATTTTTACGTATTCCTTCATTTAATCCTCACAACAACTCTATGAGATTGGTGTAGCCCCTTATTTATCCAATATTTACCATAGTCACTGAACAGGAATGGAAGGCTTTAGTGAAGTGACCTGTTTAGAATAATGTAGCAAATTATTAGCAGAGTAACAATTTGAACATATCATTGCCTTTAAAGTTTTTTTCTACCCAACATCCCATAGTGCAAATGAAAGAGGCAGTTCAGGAATAATTTGTTGTTTTATGTCCTGTCCCTAGTTTTACAGGTATTCATTGAGATAATCAATGCAGAAATAGATCACAGGGTAATATTCCTTTCCTTGCATGAGAACACTGGCGGTGCCTTGGAAAAACTGATCAAAGCAAATCCAAACTGACTAACATCAATTTCCCCCATGATGTTCTGGTGGTACTGACAATGAGAAAACTAAGTACTGTTCTGGTTTTTGAATATGAAAAGTAGCCCTAAATCAGGACTCAGATCATGAGATGTTAACCAGAGTAAGTAGGGCACAGAATGAACCAGCTCATTCCAGGGATCAGATGTCTACCTAGTAACAATAGACGTATTAGTTATAGATGATTTTCTACCAACAAATGAATAATACATGTTCACTTCAGTAGATTTCGTAAATCAAACTACAATGAAGTGTCAACTGGGGAGTACAACTGAATTAAGGTGGAAGATGGCATTTTTAAACAGTGCTCAAGATTAGAAGCAAAGCTGTCATGAGATAAGGGATTTGCATGGCTAAACTGCAAATGTGTTTTAATAACAGCATAGTAAAAGTTGTAAAATAGAAATTGTCTTATATTTGCAGATTCAGGTGCTGTGTTTACATTTGGGAAGACCAAATTTGCTGAAAATATGCCTAGCAAATTCTGGTTTAAGAATGACATACCTATGTATCTTTCATGTGGAGATGAACATACTGCTGTTGTTACGGGTTAGTATTTATAATCCTAAATGAAGACAATTATAAAGAATCTTAAATGTTATAAATGTGTTATGTTTTATGTGTATTTTGAAGTTAGTTTCTTTTACTGTACCAGAAAATTCTTCACAAACTGATTCAAGAGACTCTTCAATCTTAATTTATCTTAGTACATTGAAGTATAATTTTCTGTATATACAGCTTTCTTAGAAACTGTATAGACAGTCTTAGAAACTTAGAAACTCTGTACACCTCATAGAATCTGGCCATATGTATACAGACAAGGTAAAGTATCTGTTGTTTCAGTGTAAAGAAAAAATCACTTTTTAAAAAAATACAGCTTTTTATTGCATTATGATGACTTTATCATATTATTTATGTGAGAAATGCTTCAATTTGTTATTTTTCCTTCCCATTAGGAAATAATAAACTTTACATGTTTGGCAGCAACAACTGGGGTCAGTTAGGATTAGGATCAAAATCAGATGTCAAGAAGCCAACGTGTGTCAAAGGTTTGAGGTCCTTTATCACTTTAAATATTTAAACTGCATAAAGTGCTTTTATGTTGATCGTGTAGTTTAATGTCATAAATAATAAAGTTTTTAGTTTTTTGGTAAGATTTACTTGGGTGTTAGTATCATTTAACTTTATTCTTTATATGAAATTCAAACCTAGTTTTATATGATAGAATCTAAAAAATGTTACATTGACTTTAATCTTTGTAATCACAAAAGGAGTATTGATTGTACAATATTGCATTTGAATATCTTATTTTGGCTTACATATAAAACTACTTAAATATTACTGATATTATGTATATAGAAAAAAAACTATAATGTGCTAGAATGTGAGATATATCTCATTTGTATCATAGTTATATGCAATTTCTGGTTTTATAAAACATACTTTATCCTGTTGTATATTGTGAGTAGATGAACAGTACAAATATCAAGACTAGGCATTGATTAGTACTAGTATATAAGAATAATAGGACAAAATACTTGAAATCAGGTCTGTCCAAGAACATTTGAGATGTATAATACCCTATAAACTTCTTCACTCTTAAATACAAATCCTTTGGGTATGTATAGTCTACATCAACTAAATGACTCAACTAAATTTAAACGTGATGGAAGTGCTTTGGGATATGATAATACTACATATTATTTTTCTGACCAAAATTTAAACTTCAGCTTAAAATTTTAATGTGAACTTATCATCCATCCTATTTATAGGTATAGTTATAGGACTTTTGAGGGGTTCCACATGGCCAAAAAGTATTTGATGAGCACTGACTGCCAAATATTTGGGGATACTCATGATGATCACGGTCCTTATTCTCAACTGTCTTCTTTAATAGACCAAAGAGTAACAAAATAGTCTATACTATGAAATCCTTGAGGACAAGGACTCTTATTTTAGTCATTAGTGCAGATGCTATCCCAACCAATTAGGAAATATTTTATAAATATTTTTAAATATGTAGACAAATAAATGAACAACTTTATCATAGTTGTATTTCTATGACTAGTGGATTGACAATGTATTCATTAAGGGTGGTAGATGGCGAATTTGATAATGGTGGTGGCAGGATAGATAAAGGATCACATTGGTGAAGAGGCAGCACGACAGGATGCAGTGGAAATCAGCACATATTCATTACCTGTGGAGTTTCTAAAAATAACACAGATGTCTAGTTCCTATCCAACACTCACTAACATTCTTTCCAAAAACTTCACTGGTTATTATAATGCATAACTGGTCCTGATAACTTCTAGTTTAGTAGTTAAGAACATCAACTTTGGAATCAGACAAGCCTTGGTTCTGGATTTGAGTGTAGTGTACAGGTACAGTTTAGTCTTAGTTGTAGTTGAGTTTGATTACCAGCACCATGATAAATAAAGCTCAGTTCTATAACTTAATTACCATTTGACCTGAATTATTTATCATATTAATATCCATAAGATATTTTAATTATCATGTTATTTTAATTTTAGCTCTTAAACCTGAGAAAGTGCAATTTGCTGCCTGTGGAAGGAACCACACCCTCATTTTAACAGGTATAGTTTCAACCTATGTGACTTGGCTGGCATCAAAAACTAAGTCCTTGGTCAGTAACATTTATGACTTTTTAAAAAGTTAATAGAAATGATAACTTGGAAATAGGTAGATTAAAGTTTCTAAAATGTAAATATTTAGTATACATATTTGCCTTTGTATATGTGTAAATAAATCTTAAGTGAGTAAAGAAAACTGTTTTTAGGTTATATCCAAAGACAGCATTTCTTTACCTGTGGACACATATCAAAGGCTAATTATTCCTACATTTTCTTTGTTGTTTTTCAGTTTAGCATTTATTATTGTACTTGGCCTGTCCACAGTGATGAAGCATATTTATGTTACATACATTTGACTTAGTACCATGCACCTTCATACTATGTGGCAAAAATAAAATAGTGTTTATTTGCCCAATACATTAAATATTTGACTTGCACTTTGACAGTTTAAAACTATGTAAGCAAAATTTTAGATTTATGCTTACAAATGTATTTTTGTATTTAATTTTATTACCCTACATGTCACAATTTTAAACTTCATGCTTCTTAACCAATGTTAACAATTATCATCAAGTCTTTCATACTGATTATTACCATTGCTCTTCTCTGTTTTCTGAGAATGACTGGAAGCCATGCAAAAGGCTATGAGTTCCCTCAATTCCCATCAAAATTCAACCAGACTGTGTGTCTGTGTGTAGAAGTTCATAAAGTAATTCTAAAATTTATATGGAAAATCTTAGAACACAGACTAGCTAAAACAGTTTTGAGAAAAATGACATTGGGAGACTGGTACTATCCAATTACTAAAACTATAAAGCTGTAATAATCAAGACAGTGTGGTACTGGCAAAGATAAAGATTAATGAAACAGGATAGAGTCTACAAATGGACACACACATACATGTCCAGCTGATATTTGACAAAGATGCTAAAGCAGTTCATTGGAGAAAAGGATCATATTTTCAACAAATAATAATTTGAATATTAGTAGTCCCTGACCCCTGAGAAGTCCTTGTTTGTACTCCCTACTTCACTTGTCCCAGTAACTTCCATCTTTAAGCTGTTTTCTCTGCCTTGACTCCTCCTCCTTCTCTGCCTTTCTTCATACTTTTTTTCAGTGTTAATAAAGGAAAGATGGTATATACTGACTTATGTCATAAAGGGGGTGACTATAGGATATTAATGTTTCTTTTCCATATACAGTAGTAGGCAATGTTTATGCAGCTGGAGGAAATAATGAAGGGCAGTTAGGACTTGGTGACACTGAAGAGAGAAACACTTTTCATCGTATTAGCTTTTTTACATCCGAGCACAACATTAAACAGCTGTCTGCAGGATCTAATACTTCGGCTGCACTATCTGGTGAGACTTATTTTTATTTTAATCTGGGACACATCCTTTCCTTCAGTCCAGAATACACCAACTCAACTCAACATAGCATTGCTATTTAGTTTTGTTTCATTGACTTCGTGCTCTCAGAAGACATTTTAAAATAAATTTAAATAACAGCTTATTTAAAACAAAATGTAAATATATATGTGGGAGGTTATTGGTAAAGAAATTCTAACCTCTGCAGTCCATCCGAGTCCATCTGTTCCTTAGATATCATTAAATAATATCTTCATTACACGTTCTCAAAATTTGTTGCAGCTTTAACTGAAAGTGCATATGTTGTAAAAATATAGTTTATAACAGTCATTGCATCACTTTTCCTGTCAAAAGAGAAGAGAACATTTTTTTCATAATGGTGTCATGATAACTCTGGTGTTGCCAAAGTTGCTGGTTTGTTCCAAGCAGGGAACTGTGCAAACCTCTAGAGTTGCTCCAGACATCAGCAAAATCACAGTAGTACGTGAAGCTCTATCTCTCTCTTTTTTTTTTTTTTGTCTTTTTCCTTTTTATCGGTACCAGGGGTCAAACTCACGACTGCCTACTTGCAAGGCAGGCGCTTATGCCGCTGAGCTAAATCCCCAGCCTCCAAAGCTCTATCTCTTAATTTCATCAAATATAGTTAGATTTTCAATATCCTTTCAGTTCTTTTCAGTTACTATTTTATTTGCCTTCTGAGTAAATAACTTCAAAAATACAGCATTTTTTTTTAGCTTTGCACAGTGGCAGTATCGTAGCCAATGAGGTGTATCTGAGGCACAATTATTGCTAATTAAAAAAGATAACATTTTTTAAAATTGAAAGAAGTAAATAAATATCGATGATTCCTTTATAATATCTTTATCTTACTTTACCTAATACTGCAACTTGACAGAAAGGATATTAAGGTAACATTTTTGAGATGCTAAATGTGCCTCTCATTCTCAGAAGCTAGAGTCAGAATTTTCAGATCTAAATTTTTTAAAAAATGCAATAGTGAATTTTTTTAAAGAACAATTTCCATATTGTTCTCAAGAGCAACGTTTCTTTCTCCTTTTTGACCTGGGAATTGCCTTTTTGACTTGTAGATGGCCATTGTGACTCATGATTTCTCTTAATTCCATGGCAGATATATTGCTTGAATAAAGAAAACATTTCTGTTTATAGAAACATTACAATACAACAAGGTAGTTACAGAAAATGGCATCCTGGGTTTGCTACTGACATAAAAATATGGGTAGAATTAAAGTTATTTACAATCAAATCATTTCTTGTTCCTCATTATGGAAATATTACACAATTGAAATGGAATCTTAAGTAGCTGGTTAGTATAAATGTCCTAGTATTTTTTCAAAACACAATTTTTCTAAATTAAAAAAATAAATGTCCCTGCCACCTTTTAAAACCTCTTTTCCCTTTGTGTTTCTTTTATAGAGGATGGAAGACTTTTTATGTGGGGCGACAATTCTGAAGGGCAAATTGGTTTAAATGATGTAATAAGTGTGTGTGTCCCTCATCAAGTGAACATTGGGAAACCAATTTCTTGGATCTCATGTGGATATTACCATTCAGCTTTTGTAACAAGTAAGGCAGAACATTTGGAATTTATAATGTTCTCTCCTTTCAAAGTTATTTCTAAATTAATAATAAAATGATAAAACATTCTATGGTTCTGTAGGAGTAATGCCATGGTTGTCTATGTAATGGGATGATTTGGGTGTGTTTTACCTTATAGTGTTTCTCTGTTACTCTAATGAGAGCTTGTAATTTCAAATTCTGACATATTAGCTTGATAAGTGAGTGTTAGATTTGTTAGAAAATTAAAATTTATACTTTAGAAACCCTTCTAAAGTTGGTTCTCAAACTTCTTAGGTAGCCTTGGTATTAAAAACAGGACCTATGTCCACTTTTGTTTGGAGCTAATTTCTATCCTTTGGACTATACTGCTGTCATACTGATAATTGCTTTTATTGTTTCAAATACATTGAGCCCTATTGTTTCCTTAAGGGAAACTGGATGAAGACTAAATGGAAAAGGAGACCTCAGTAGAAGATGTGGTTTCCTTTGGTGGGACTTTTCTCAGCACCACCAAGTTTCTTTCTTTCCTGGGCCCATTAGCAATCTTTTATATCTTAATTAAGGTATTTAAAATGTAAAGTGTAATTATAGATTTCTATCTAATTAATGGTTATTTTCACAGTAAAAATATCAGAGGAAATGCTTCTGTGAATTCTCGAAATGTTAAGTTTACATATTTACCTTTTATTGCATGTATTGTAGATCAGGTTTAGAAAGTGCTAATTACCTGCTTTGCGGTTGTGAGTAGAAAGTGCTAATCGATCAATTCAAGTCCCCTGTACTCCAGCATACCAAAATTGGGCCAGTCTGACTTTGTTAGTGCAGTATTGTTCACTTTGTACTCCTGATGTCTTGAACAAACTGGTAATAAATATTACGGATTGAAGCAGAGAGTTAGTTATATTAGTAAATTCTGCTTTAACCATAAAAGAAGCAAGCAAAATTACTCATCTCCACCAATAGGCATAGATTTGAGCTTTTTATGTATCTTTAAAAAGAACTTTGGTGAAATATTCACATACTGTACAGTTTATCCATTTAAAATTACAGTTGAGGGGCTGGGGATTTAACTCAGTGGCATAAACGCCTGCCTTGCAAGCAGGCAGTCATGAGTTCGATCCCTGGTACTGATAAAAAACAAAAAAGACAAAAAAAAAGTAAAATTACAGTTGAATATTTTTTAGTATAGTCACAGGTTTGTACTTACCACAGAGCTTTATAATAAATATTTTGCTGAGATTCATTATATCAGATGGTATAATTTATCAGTAATTTCACAATAGCCATTGTTTTATGACTTCAGTGATTTAAAGCAACTTAATACACATCATGGAAATAACTCATGTGTAGAGATTTGCTTTATATAGATTTCATAATCGATAAAAATGTTACATAGAAAGGGACTCTACTGAATTTATCTTTTTCTCTGTATGTGGAGCTGGGAAACCTAAAAGAAAGTAGTCTAGTGTTTTTATTTTAAGGTTCTGGCAATTGAACCCGAGGAACTTTGCACTGAGCTACATCCCACCTATTTTTTATTTTTAAGACCTATTTTTAATTTTTATTTTAAAACAGAGTCTTGCTAAATTGATATTGCCTAGTCTGGACTTGAATCCTCCTGCCTCAACCTCCCTGAGAACAATTTAATTTTTAATAGAACTTTAGGACATATTAGTGAGAAAGTTGTATTTAAGACTTTCAATAGTTTCAAATTCTAATTCTTACTGGTATATCAACGTAAGGACATTTGTATAACTTACCTCATATCTTCCAAATTTAATTACTTATACCAAAAGTTTTTTAGTTAATTTGGATTTTCTACATGCTCTCATGTTATCAATAAATATTTTGTTTTTTCCTCCCCCCCAAAAATTTCAGCAGATGTGTAACTTACTAATATGTTTGAATGTTTATGTTCTAAATTATGTAAAATTTTGAATCATTTTAAATATTAGAAGTACAATATATGTTGTTTGGAGTATTGCTGCTGATTTCTATGTCTTCATTTTATATATTAATCATTGGGTATGAATATTTCAATTAGTGATTCATACAATAAGAGGGAATTAGGTGCAGCACCATTAGAGGATGTAAATGAATGAGTTGAATTTTTTGGAACTGGGGGCAGAGATGTGTGGAGTAGTCTTCAAAGACTGGAGAACAGATACCTAGCCGAATGCTTAAGGTTAGAATCTTGGAAAAGGTAGAAATCAGAGACAGGTTGATTTCTGAAGGATACAGATATGATAAAAAATTAATGGACTTGGAGATACCATCACCTGCCTCACAAAGTAACTGTGAGATTAAGTAGAATATAGTGGAAGGTGAAGTAACATTAAATACATAAGTTGAAGTGATCTATTTATTTATCCATGGTAAATGTTACTGTATTTTTGTGTGTAAATAAGACAAAGAATTTGGAATTAAATGGAACACTTCATATGGATTAAAAGCATTTACTTTCTCCTTTAATGAAGGTCTTATTGATGGACACAGGAAATTTTTTTCATAACCTTTGATAGATAAACATTTTACTTTAAAAACTTGACACTATGAAAATGTTTCAATAGCTTACCACATACAGTTCACCTTAAAGGGTATTTCTTATATACCAAGTTGATTAAAACATAGTGCTAATGTCTATAATCTCTTAACTCTAAGATATATAAAGTTTTGACATCTAGAACACATTTTTTTTGGTACTGGGAATCAAACTCAGGGCCTTGTGCTTGCCAGAGAGGCATTATGCCACTGAGCTACATTTCCAGGCCTACAAGGCATTTTTAAGTTCTACTATATTCTACTTAATCTCACAGTTACTTTGTGAGGCAGGTGATGGTATCTCCAAGTCCATATATGGAGGCAAGATTAGGACACAGGTTTATCTAAGGTGGTGCTGCAACTAAGTTGCGAACCAGAATTTGGATCCCATTCTTGAGATTTTACAGGCCCGAGTGACTTATATTAGCACACAGCTTTTCTACACATACACAAACATGGGATAACAACTAATAATACCTGGGCACTGACTGTGTTCTAGGTACTTCTGAATGCATTAATTTATTTGTTCCTATGAAATAACAGCTCTATGACAAGGCACTTGATTCCGCCTCATAGGCACAGTGATTGTTCAGTATGACTCAGTAAGTGATAATATTACAGAAATAAGTTCCTTATTTTAAGAAGATTATAATCATAATATAGTGTGATACATGGGATATAGAAAAAAATTGATATTGTCACTGTGGACAAGTTAGTGATTTTCAGACCTTAGTAGGAGTCTTTCTGGAGGAAGTACCATCTATCTAAGTAAAATCTGCTGTCTTAAGATCACTCAAATTTATACTTCACAAATAAGTTGAGTTTTTCTAAAACAAATTTTATAGAACTTATGATTAAATGCTTGAATTAGACAGTCTGCTATGTTTCTGGGATCTCATAGTAAGACAAATGTCCTTATGCAAGCTGAGTATATGCTTCTTTTGCCTTATTTAAAAGTAGATGTAAAATAGTCTGATACATTTTGTGAAAGAATGAAAGCGACTGTAGAGTTGTTTATCTGTAGTGATTGTCATAAATTCTTCATGAAGATTGTTGAAGTAAAACAAGCATGAGGAAAAGAAAAGAAAGTGAGAAATGGTAAACCTTACCATGCAGAAAAATATCTCAAGAAAGTTCAAATTTATTAATTTGTCGTCATCTTAATTTTTAAAAATCCCAATGTCTTGTTCATACTTATACCTTCATCAATCACATTATTTTCCTTTCAATAGTGGATGGTGAACTCTACACATTTGGAGAACCTGAGAGTGGAAAATTAGGTCTTCCTAAAGAGCTGCTGATCAATCACAGAACACCTCAGCTGGTGGCTGGAATTCCTGAGAAGGTGATCCAAGTAGCTTGTGGTGGAGGTCACACAGTTGTTCTCACAGGTATGTGTGAAGCCTGCTGCTTGGTTTCTTGCTTTTTGTGATGGCTAATGACATCTTTTTAAAAAATGATCTTTTTATTATTCTGATAAAAACTTTTAAAATGAGACCTAACTTTGAAACATATTTTAAGTGTATAATGCAGTATACACTTAAATCTATATAAATATATAGATGCAATGTTGTAGAGCATGTCTCTAAACCCTTCTAGTGTAGATGATACTTTGAGTGTGTCACACAGCATCTTCTTACACCACCAGCTTCTGCCAAACACTGTTTCATTCTTAGTGTCTGTGAATTGGAGTCTTTGCGATCCCTCATGGAAGCTGGTTTTGTATCCATTTCCATGAAGATAGCCACCTTTTATTCCTATTTTGCATTGCATATACATACATATATATTTATATTTATGACCTGAAGAAAAAATGAATCTTCTTGAAATGATTCTTGAATTATGTTTCTGGTAACAGAATAGACATTTTATGAGGTTAACACCATCAGTGGCAGCAGTTTTCCGCTCATTTTCAATGATAAACTTTTTCATGTACATCTGTATTCTATATTTATTAGAAATTGACATTATTGTTTTCTGAAATGCCTTCTTTTGGAGAAGCTCCCTATTGATGCTGTTTTCTACATGTTATTGATAATTTTTTGTGAGAATCATAGTGTATAACTTGGAGATTTCTTTGTGAATTAGCAGAATTGTCTTCTGCTAATAGTAATTCATTAAAAAGTGGTAAGGTTTTAAATTGCAGATACTAAGAAATTTAGAATATTAATAGTAATGTCATTTTTCACTTCTGAATTTCACATTTGGCATGACAAGTTACCTAGGATTCAAGTCAGTATTTTCAAGTATACTCACAACTTGATATTTTTATTACATTGATGTCCCTAAATTTGTTTAGCAATAAAATTTACATTAGGTAACTAGTATAGAGCTAATGCAGCTATGTCTTAAATTATTATATTGTTTGATCAGAAGAAGTTAACAGTTTCTAGTCACTAATCTTCAGTAACCCAGAGCTGGAAGTGTTTTTGTCAAATTTTGTATATCCAGTTCTCAAATCAGTGTTGTAAGATGCATGAACAATAGTTTACCTTTAGATTTTCCTTTTTTGCATTGTTTTTCTTCTACTTTCTTTTCTAATCCTTCTTATGTTTATTAAGCTTCATTTTCCCTACAGTACAGCTTCTAGGTGGATCTTTTTTCCAAGTTAGGGATTATTTTTTGAAAGCCTATACTCTGAATTGGAAGTAAAATAAAATTCTAAGGTTTAGATTCATTTTTAATTCCTGCTGACAAAATGAAGGTTCAGATAATGTAGGAAGATTTAGTGTAGAATAAATATTTTTCAGATTATATGAAAGTTTATTGTATAGGCAGAAATACTACTTATTTATGCATTAAGTATTTATCCAGTTTTTATAAGTATGATAGAGTCAGTTTACTAGGTGATTCAACATTATTCTGAAACAATTATTATTTAATAATCCAAAGTGAACCATCTGTCATAAAATATTTTATGTAAGTATTCAAGGGCATAATCCATGATACTTTTATTTTCATGCAGTATTAAATATTTAATTTTAGGCTTTTTTGATGTTAAAAATTTTGTTTCTAGAAATTGATTTTCTGTAAATTTTTGCAGATTTTGGGATCTTACATATCAGTAAAGTTTGTTTTTTGAATTTTTTTAAATTCTGAGGTGCATCTTTTGACAGACCTGGAACAGTTGCTATTGGCTGCTAAGGTTTCCATTATAGAATAAAGAAAACAACAAAAGGTTTTACATTTTCCATCTGCCCAATTTTAGTAGCCATTGAATGAGAAAATACAGGAGAAAAGTTTGTAATACAGGAAAAAACATGGAAAATTTGTGTAATTCATAGATAACCTTGTAAACAGTGAAAAATTTATTTTACTTGAAAGAAGAATTGAATTTCAAACATGAGAAACAAGTAGCTGCCAACATCTGACTAGCTTTTACCTAAAGACAGGCACTGAAAAAAATGACTATTTTCACGATTATGTAAAATAAGTGTCATTTTGAAAACAAAAAGCTCTTAATTATATAATAAAAGATACCCAATTAAATTGTATGAATTTTATCTGTATGAAAAAAATCCACTACTTTGCGGTCTTTCACATTACTCCGTGGACCTGTGAAAGCTTTATTCTGAGCCACTCTTGTTGAAGAACCTGTGTTTTAAAACATAGTATAGATAGAAATATTAAATATTTAATCATAGGTAATAAATATACCTGAGAAGTATATAGGTCATCACTTTGGCTAAGTACTAAATTGCAGAGTAAGAGAGTTGTGAAATACTTTCTGAGACCTTTAGGAAAAAAATAACTAATTATATGTTTTAGATTATTTCTTTCAGTAAAGGAAAAAATTTAGATTAGACGATTTTCTGGATCCCCCCAACTTTACTTATCCATATGTCTATAACTCTGATCTTAAAATCTATTTGGGTAGCATTCATTTTATATTTATTTTAAAGATAATTTAAATTAGTTCATTGCTGATGAATTTATTTAAAACATACTATTGGCATGGAACCAAGATTGGTTAAAAATAACAACTACTTATTGTAGGGATGATGTGTTTGTTTATAGTTTTTCCTTAGCAACAGTGAACAGTCAATTGCTGTGGGACAAGGACCGTATGGACACACGGGACACAGTCAGGCAGAGTGACAGGTGAAATCTTGAATGTATTCTTGTCCATAGCAGTTACCAAAGATGAGGAAAGCTGTTTGTAAGATGAGGTCCACAGTGATTTCTGAGTCCCAAAGCAAATGATAATGTATCTTAACTTCTCCAGATTATGTTTAAACAAACTTGAGTTCGCTACAGGTTAATACATTAATTGGTCCTAAAATCAAATATATCCTATGAAATTACAGTAAGATTATTTTGAATTTAACTGATCAAATCTGTTTTCCTAATGTAGCATTTTAACATTGTTATATTGTTAAATGTCACAAAGGGAATAGGGCCAAAAATTGTATAATTTCATATATTCATATATATATATAATGTCCTTAGATAAAATAAGATTATTTAAAGAATAAAATGTCACTAATCATGGAAGCACCCAGAAGTTAATATAACAAAACTTTATAATATTACAAAAATTTTGGTATACAATCCAAGTTGTTTCAATAAATTCATTTCACAGGCTACTGTCAGTCCAAAAGTATGTTGGTCAGATACAGGTAGATAATTATTTTTAACTTATTTAACATTCTACTATTAAAGCTGAACATTTAGAACTGGAAATATGTGATGTAATTATTACGATACGATATTTTGATAATAAATCTGTTTTGCCATTCTCTCACCATGGCTTCATAGCGTTGGTGTAGCATATTTTAAGAAGCAGCATCTTAATAAAGCAAGCATTCTTATTAGATAGAAAAAATAGAAACCCGTGTGAAATAGACAATAGACAGTAACGTACCCCTATTATCAGAATTAGATGAATTGATACTTTTTAGAAAGAATGATTTTACAACTGTTTTTAAACCTGCCTGAATGTTTTCTCTTGTAATCTTATTAGGTAGGAACTGTAAGATTAGATAATCTAAGTAATTTGTCTACTTGCTACATCTAATAATAATGTAGTTTTGAGTTCTAACCTTAATATGAAATTCTTGCTCTATTTCCTATAGTAGGAAAAATTTCATGCACTGAATTGAGAAAATCAACACTACTTTCTCACATTAACCAGGGAAACTACGTATAAAAGAACTCTTGTTGCCACTCATATAGCCTGTTTTTGTGCTTTTCCATTTATAGAAAATATATGAACTAATATGTATTAAGTTGCTGGAGATTTTTTTGAATCATCTCAAAAAATATTAATATAGAGGAATGTTTTCTCCTTCCTTTCATTAGGTTTACATTTCCTAGTAAATGAACTTTATTGGTGAATAAATCTAGTATATCCATCGTAAGTGTTAATTTTCTTGTAGATTCTTTTCTGAAGTTGTATTTTATAAAATAGATCAAGCTACTTTTAAAAGAGAGGTTTTTTGGTAGAAGACACTATTCACTTTTTTATTTATGGCAGTGAAAAAATTAGCTAATGAAACAATGCTTTTTGAGCTGATGCCACAAAGGACACTTTAATTGTAAGGACACTTCAGTCAGTTTCCTGACATAGGTGTCTTGTATTGTACTTGTTGCTTATGTTTACCAAACCTTTCTTTGGTTACATGTGAAAGTTAAAATCTGACCCATGCTACAATTTTTATAACCTTTTCATTTTTCTCACATCATTGAAAAATTCATACTTGAGTATTAGAAATCTTATATGAGGGTTTATTTTAGATGCAGTTATCTTTCACCATAAAAATGATCACAACTTTTTTAGACATGATAGTGATAGTGTCTGCCTTCATGCAATCCTTTTCTTGTATTTTTCTCTTTCAGAGAAAGCCGTGTATACTTTTGGACTGGGACAATTTGGTCAGCTAGGCCTTGGCACTTTTTGTTTTGAAACATTGGAACCTAAAGTCATTGAACAAATTAAGAATCAGAAAATAACTTATATTTCCTGTGGGGAAAATCACACAGCTTTGATATCAGGTATGGATTAGATTTTTTGTATTGATAGTACAAGGTATATTGTTCTACAAAGTAACATATTGAATGTATGTATCTAACTAAATAAAGTGATTAATAACAGCGTAAAATGCAATCCTTTGTGTGAGTATTCCAAAGTATAAAGCTATAAACTCCTTTATATTACTTTAAATCAATTTAAAATAAGTGTGGGGACTAGAGGTATAACTCAGTAGCAAAACATCTTCTTAGTATAGGTGAAGCGTTGGGTTCAATCCCCCACACCAAACAAAGGTAAACCATCCAAAGATTTAGAACCTCAAAATAGGACCTTGATACCAGAAAAAGCCATAATATTATATTTCAGTAGAAAACTGGAATCTTCTTGAAATTGTTATCAGTATAAAGGGTTTTTAACTTTGCTCAAGCCAGAGGGAAAAATCTCACAAGAAAGAATTTATATTACATTATTCTTTTGTTTTAATCTGACAGAGCTACATTCAGGCTGAATAAATTAAGATGCTTTTTCCACCAGGAGGAGTTTTAAACATTGACAACTTCCTTATCTTTCCAAAGAGACACCTCAAAGTACACTAAGTGAATATATAATCCACTCTGATTTCTCCTTTATCCAGGGAGATGTTCCTTTGGGCTTTCTTCTCACCTTAGAAACTAGATGATGCTAATATTGTAGCACGCAAGAAAATTCTTTCTCAAAATGTTTCAGTAACTTACCTGTAGGTAATTTATATACTCCACAATATAAATACTTTTTTAATAAAAAGGCCCATATTTTCCCTATTTTTATCTAAAACTGAAGTAAAGCATCAAAAAGATATCATCTAATAGGTTTCAATAATCCAAACTCTCATATTTCTCCCTTTTTTATTCTTTATAGAAAATCTTATACTCATATAGTGGTATTTAGTTACAGAAAGTGAGAGTCAGGAAGTACAACCAAGGTACACAGTTCCTTCTTCCCCACAGAATCACAGAACCCTTGAGAAGAAACAACCTGCCCAATATCAAGTATCAGTGTTCTTATTGATGTAGAATAAAAAGTAGCATTTTATAGAGTATGGAGAAGTATTATTCATTTGCTTATCTACTGAGAGTTGTTCGTGTGTATCCTTCACTGTGGAATCCTAGCCTCAGTTTCTTTGTCTCGCTGCCTTTTTTTCTTCTGTTTTAAGTTACCATTGATGATAAATTCAGTAGTAAGCAGTTTTTATGTATCATCTGGCATTCAAGTAGATTACTTGGTTAAATTTTCATAGTACTTTTCTCCTAGTGAACCCAAATAATTGAACATTAATTTTGGCTTTTTATATCTTATATCCTCCTAGTGGGCCCTTCTTAGGGAGTTTTTTTTTTTCTTTTAAGACAGATTAGAGATATGTAGTGAGTTGTCTGTAAGATCTTGGTAGTTTTTATTATAGTCAGTGGTTCATGTTTGAAAAATCTGTCTGAGATTGGAAGTACAATCAGGCGTCTTGGATCAGAGTTCATTTTTTCAAGCAAATGTGAACAAAATTAGAAAAGCAAACCTTAGCATTTTTAGATGAAGAAATTTAAGAAAGAAAAATGATAAGGAGTATATACATAGAAAGAAAGTAAATATCTAACAGACATATAAGACTTTGAAGAATCTAAATATTGGTTATTACTTTTTATATGGAATCTGTTTTTTGTAAATTAATTTTTAAACACTATACTAGATTATGGTATTTGTAATAATTATTAAATTAATTCTTGTAGATTTTCTGAGTATGCAGTCATTTTGCTTTATTAAAGCAGAAATCCCCAAATATGATCTAATAATTTCTCAGTTTAAAACCATTCATCCAACTTCTTACTACTCTTTACATAGGGTTTAGAAATTCGTAATCTGAATTAATTTATCCCTCATTTGGTTAGATCTTACCTGTTCAGACTCATCTCATATCACTCTCCCTTTCATAATCTAGGCTCATTGATTGACTTTCATTTTTCTATTGACCTAGATGCCTTCTATGCATGTGCTGCTAACTCTTATAGTTAAACCCTACTCATCTTTTAGGTTTCAGTTTGAAAGCCTGTCCTAATCCCCAGACTACAGGAGTATCCCTCTCCTCTATGCCCATATTGGCATCCATTGTTTGTGTTTCCACACAAACAATGTGTGAAACCTAATTTGAAAAGCCTCATATAAGGGAGTAGTTTATAAAAAGAGTAAGACTTTAGAATATCTGCTGTGCTAGGGGGCAAAAGTGCTAACTGGAAAGAAGTGACAAGATTATTCATCATCATCATTGGTTTGACTATTGAGTGGATCCAGTTATTGATAAAAAAGACTAGTCAGCATGTTTCATTGGTTTATGGCCCTTCTTTAAGCAGTATTCTATAGCCCAGGAGCTAAAGTAGTGAAAGAGACAGGTTGGTCTAACCCAGTAGTTTTCTATAAGTGGTACTTTTGTTTCCCCAGGAAATGCTTGTGAAGTTTGGAGATATTTTTGATTGTCACTTCTGCAGGGAAGGGGATGTTGTTCTACTTGCTTACAGTGTGAATAGAGAGAGACCAAGGATATTGGTAAACATCCTACCAGGGCATAGAATACACTCAACATAAGCAAGAATTACACAGTCCCAAATGTCAATAGTGCTGTCTTAGTTGCTTTTCTCACTACTAAGACAAAATACTGGATACCTAAAGTTAAAAGAGGAAGATTTCATTTCAGCTCAGAGTTTGTAGAGGTCTCAGTTCATCGTTAGCTGGTTGGAAGGCAGAGTAGCATGAAAGAGGGGGATCACAGTGGAGAAATGTTTCATGGTATGGCAAATAGAAGGCAATGTGCAGCAAGCCTGCCTACCTTATTGCCCCTTATAATCCATCAGACTACCAGCCTTTTGATTTGTGCCTACTATACTTATAGTAGGGCTTCCATTATCTACACCCTTAATTGACATTCACACACCTTAGTTCAGCTACCATCGAAACTTCCGACTCATGACCACTTAAAGCTTGGGGAGGGGCATAGCTATAAGCCATAACAAGTACTGAGGTTGAAAACTGATCGACCAATTACTTGAGGAAAGAAGAAAATAGATTGTATTGGGATGGAGGGGGTTCAGAACATAAGGATCTATTTCCCGTTCATAATATGTATAGCACAAAATCTTGTGTTGTATTGTTACTTCCAGGTTTTAAAAATAATTTTCAGAGTTTCTTTATTGCCTATTGTTATATATGAGACTGTAGAGAACATACAGAGTGTTAATCAATGGATCAGAGTGAATTAAATATAGAACTTGATGGGAAAATTACTAATTGCAGTGTAAATTAATTTATTTTTTGGTTTACAAATAGAGGGATACAACTAATACTTTATAATTCTCTTCTATTTTGTATTTTAGATATAGGCCTTATGTATACTTTTGGAGATGGCCGGCATGGAAAATTGGGGCTTGGACTTGAGAATTTTTCAAATCAGTTCTTTCCCATCCTGTGCTCTGAATTCTTGAGATTTACAGTTCAATTGGTAAGGGTATCACATTCTCATTTTTACATTTCAGTATTTTTATTTTGAGTCAATGTTAAGTTTATATGAAAGAATACCATGGATATGTATAATCAGTTTCACTAATTAAGAGCCACATTTCAGATATTATGTCATTGTGAAAAATCTGTTCCTTTCTTAACTTTCCTCTTTTAATATATTCCATTTTCTCCAAAGCTTAATTCTTCTTTATTCTCATGTCTTTCAAAAGCAAGACTGTGCCGTGCTTATAAACTTTTTAAAAAAAAAATTATCACATAATAGGAAACTCATGGAATGAAATTAGGAAAGAAATGCCTTTTACAATAGCAAGAAGAAAAAGTAAATACTTAGGAATTAACCTAACCAAGGAAATGAAAGGACCTGTGCAGTAAAAACCGGTATTCTAAAAAAGAACATTAAATAGAACATCAGAAAATAGAACAGTATTCCCTTTTCCTGGATAGACAGAATCAATATAGTCAAAATGGCTGTTTCTAAAGCTGATTTTATATATATATACATACATATATATATGTATATATATATATATGTATATATATATATACATACATATATGTATGTATATATATATATGTATATATATATACATACATATATATATGTATATATATATATACATATATATATATGTATGTATATATGTATATATACACATTTAATGCAGTCCTAATCAAAATACCAACAACATTCTCATGGATCTAAAGTAAGCAGTCCTAAAATTTATATAGAGCCAGAAGAGACCCAGAATAGCAAAAGCAATTCTGGGAAACAATTGTAAAGCAGGAGACATCACAACCCCAGATTTGAAGTTACATTACAAAACTATAATGTGAAAAACAGTATAGTTTCAATCCCTGGTACCGATAAAAAAGAAAAAGACAAAAAAAAAAGTATAAGGCTGGGGATTTAGCTCAGTGGCATAAGTGCCTGCCTTGCAAGCAGGCAGTCGTGAGTTCGATCCCTGGTACCGATAAAAAAGAAAAAGACCAAAAAAAAAAAAAAGAAAAACAGTATGGTACTGACACAAAACAAACGTGGATAAATGGCATAAAATGGAGGATGTGGAAACGTACAACTGTCTGATCTTTGACAAAGAGGCTAAAAACATACTCTGGAGGAAAGATAGCTTTTTTTAAAAATGGTAGTGGGAAAATTGGCTCACTGCATGCAAAAGATTGAGTCTAGAACATATATCTCACCATGTGCTAAACTAAAATAAAAATGCATCTCAAAGATCTTAAAGCTAAGACAGAAGCACTTTATCTGATAGAAAATAAAGTAGGTAAAACTCTTGAAGATAGTCATAGGCAAGGACTTTCTAAACAGAACCCCAATTACACAAGAAATAACTTTAAGAATCAACAAATGGGATCACATCAAATTAAAAAAAGCTTCTGCACAGTAAAAGAAACAACCAACAGAGTAAGAGACACTTTACACAATAGGTAAAAATATTAGCAGCTATTCCTTGGACAGAGGACTAATATCTAGAATATATAAAGAAATTGAAAAAGATTAGACCTCCCAGAATAAAAGACCCAGTCAAAAAGTAGGCAACCAAAATGAATAGATACTTCTCAGAAAAAGTATAAATGGTCATTAAATACATGAAAAAATGTTAAATATCTCTTACCATGTCATAGACACAAATTAAAACAGCACTGAGTTTTCATCTTATTCCAGAAAGAATGGTGATGCTCAAGAAATCAAAACAAATGCTTGCAAAACTATATGATCAATGAATTCTTGTGTATTGTTGTTGGTATTACAAACTAGTATGACCACTGTGAAAATCAGAATGGATGTTGCACAAAAGCTAAAAATAGAGGCCAGGCATTGTGGCACTTGCCTGTGAGCCTAGTACTTGGGAGGCTGAGGCAAGAGGGTTCCCATGAGTTTGAGGCCAGCCTGTGATATATAGTGAACTAAGGGCCAACATGAACCACATAGTGTGACCTTGTCTCAACAAAACAAAACAGCCTAAACACAGAAATTCTATTTGACTTAGCTATTCCCCTATTCCCCATCTAGGTATCTTCCTAAAGACATATTACAGTAGTATCTGAACAATCATGCATGGCCACACAACTCATAATAGTTAAATCTTGGAATTAGCCTATATGTCCATCAAGACGTGAATGAGTAAAGAAAACATAGCATTTATACACATTGAGCACTACTCTGCCATAAGGAAGGATATATTTGAGTCACTTGTAGAAAAATGGATGTACCTTGAGACCACAGTATTAAGTGAAATTAATCAGACATGTAAGCCTATATATAGTATCACACATTTTCTTTTATATGACAAACCCAACACATAAATAAAGAGCAAAATAAAGGACAGATAATAGTAAATAGGGACATATGCCTTATGCAAAAGGGAAGAGAACAAAGAGATGGAAGGAAGGGAGAGGCAAGGAGAAGGAAAAGCAAAAATTTATGCATTATATATATGTACTATACCAACTTCCCATGAGGATTGTAGTCATTATGTACTACAAATATGTAATAAAAATAGAAATTAAAGGAAAATATGTTTTACTGGCTAAATATTATTCAGATAAGAATGTATCAATCATTTCAGTTTTCCATCACTGTCAGTACCATCTCTCTATTATTTCTAATGGTTTTGCCAGGTAAGAACTGTTGACTTTTCACATCTATTTTAGTACAGTGAACCCCATAGAGGCAGTGTCACATCAATGGATGATTGTGTGCCTCTTTTGTGGAAAAACAAGTAAATATTGGCATAAGAAATCTTAAGCTCTGAGGCAAAATTTTATCATATGCATTCTTTGTACAAACTTGCCAAGAAAACACAAGAAGAAGCATCCAGATGCTTCTGTCAAGTTTTCAGTTTCTAAAAAGTGTTCTATGAGAGAGAACACCATGCCTGATAATAAAAGAGCAAAATTTAAAGACATGGAAAAAGCATACAAAGAACAGTTTGAAAAAGAAATGAAAACCCATCTCCCTCCAGGAGTACAAAAAAAAAAAAACAGAACCAAAGATCCTATCACACTTTAAAGGCAACCTTTTACCTTGTTCTTCTCTGAGGGTCACCCAAAAATCAAATGAGAACATCCCAGCCTATCATTAATATTATTGCAGACATGTGGTATATCACTGCTGCAGATGACAAGACTTATGAAAGAAATCTGCTTCACTGAAGGAAAAATATGAAAAGGATATTGATGATTACTGAGCCAAAGAAAAGCCTGATGAAGCAAAAAAGGGAGTGATCAAGGCTGAACAAAGCAAGAAAAAGGACAAGGAGGAAGACACAGGGGGTGTGGAGGAAATGAAGATGAAAAGATGATAATGATGCATAAGTTGGTTCTAGCACAATTTTTTCTGTATAAAGCATTTCACCCTCTCCAAGCAATTCACTCCTTTTAAGGAAAAAAGATTAAAACCTAAAGTGTTTAAGACGTGTTTTAAAACTGTACAGTGTTTTTTGCATAGTTACACACTACCAAATGTGTCTTTAGATAGCCTTGTCCTTGTGGTATTTTCAGTAGCCACTAACCTTGCCCGATATTTTATGGGGGTTATAAAAAGGCATGGAAATTTAAAACAGGTTCTTGTTTTTACATAGCATATATTAATTATATATGAGTATGGTAGTTTTTTAGCTAACACTACTCTGTGACTTCAAAACAAGAAGTTGGAGCTGTTTTGTTGAAATTATGTCTAAGTAAATACGATTTTTATTAGTAAAATAGACTAGTGAAAATTCTGTTTACTTGGTCATGATAATATTTCTTCTTCAAAGACACATTTTCTTATACAATGGAACACTTCTATTTATTTATTTGCTAACCACTTAACGAAAGCCCTCTATCTGCAGGAGAGTTTACAAAGCATTTAGGCATAAGAAGTATCTAGCAGTGAACAAAATGACCAATCAAGTCTACATTTTTGAGCGTGTAGCTTTTTAAAGCGGTTTTTTGAGACAGGGTCTCACTATATATAGTCTAGGCTTGCTTTCAACTTGCTTGTTAGCTCAGATTGGCCTTGAAATCATGACCTTCCTGGCTCAGTCTTCTGAATGCTGAGATTGCAGGCATGTGCTACTGTGCTCAGCTCTTCATTGGACTTATGGAATTATAGGAAAATAATTTTATAAAGTTATAAAGAAAGTAGGTAAGTGTTAAATTTGAAAATACTACAAAAGAGAGGTGCAGAATATGCTGTTCTTATACCACGAGGTAGAATACTAAAATGTGGCTACAATTTGTATATTAAAAATACTCTAGGTCTTTTAGTACTTTTTAAAAGTTTATTTATTTTTCAAAATTCTTTAAATGTTTACTTTGTTCTTCATTGTTACATCATCATAGATGCTTACATTTTCCTCTAAGGACTTTAAGCATTAAACTTAGAAAATGTTCCTGTAATAGGCTTTGATTATCCCAAGAGACTGATTTATTCTTGGGACATTTTTTCTCAGTAGAACTGTGGACTGTTTTTTCAAGTGTTTAGTGTTGTACCCATTATTAAAATATAACATTTTGTAATTTGTAAAAAGACATGAAATGTAAATAATTTCTTCTCTATATTGTTGAAAGCAAATAGTGGATTAACTTGTTCTAATTTTTGATCATAGTGTTAAAATACTATGTATTTTATTTCATATGTGTGTGTGGAGAGAGAGAAAGATAGAGGGAGAGGAAGAGAGAAGAAGCAAGGTAGAAGAGTGGGAGAGGAGGGAGGAGGAGAAAAAGACGAGAGAAGAGATAATTTATGAGTCAGTCTAAGAAGTCTATCAATGAGTGAGTTGTAGCTGATCTGATAACTGTTAAAAACCCACTTGTGTTTGATGTCTATGTCAATTAGATTTTCTTTGGATTTGTGCTTTCAGGTTGCTTGTGGTGGATGTCAAACACTAGTTTTTGCCGCTCCACGCATTGATGTAGTAGGAGAAAATGACTTCAATCAAATAAATGATTTTTGCCCACCTGAAGCTACTTTGCTGGCCTCTGACAATCGGACCTCAGGAAATGTACTGCATAGAACTTTAGCAGCACGTCTGCGACGAAGAGAGCGGGTAGAGTTGTGATCTATATAATAGTGTCGTCTAGCATTGCAAAGAAAATGTGAAGAAAAACTTGTATTTATTTTTAAATCAAAGAGATGTGTTTTAAACTAGAATTACTAATAAAGTAATTATAGTTTTAAACTTTTAGAGAGAATTCAGAATTAAGTGACTAGTGACACAAAGTACAAAGTTCAAATTATAATAGTAACCTTGACTTGCAGACAGTGATACCATACAAAGCATCCATTTATTGGCCCTTTTATCACCTTAGAATGACTGCTGTATTTTCAACTGTGTATGGACTGACTTTAACTTTTTACATGGTTTTTCTATTGTAGTAGGATATATATCATAAGTGCTACACATGGAACAGATTTTTAATTGTGCAATATAGTATTGTTAATATAAGTACCATGTTGTGTAGCAGGCCTCTAGGATATAATCATCTTGCTTAATGGTATGTTCTTTTACCTTTTAGTTAAGTCTCATGAGCACTGGAAGGGTACATATCAGAAGCAATGAAACATGGGAAACCAGGACTTCAGTTTGAGAGAGGGACTATTCTTAATTAAGTTTAAAGATTCTCCTTTTGTGCTTTAAAGTTACAGTTTCAGCGACATCTTTTTTTAAAAAACAAAATGCTAAACAGTATTTAAAGGATACATACCATTTTTGAAATTACTTTGAGTTCTAATATTCATCCCTTTTGAAGTAGAAATGTTAACTAGCTTTTTACTATGAAAAAATATATATGGAAAGATTAAGGAATATCCTGTCAGTGTTTTGTAAATGTTGTTTACATGAGCAATATGTTGTTTTGCAGGGAAGATGAACACACTTATTACCCAATATGTGAAAAATAGTTTAGAATAAATAAGCTACTGAGACAACAGAACAAAATGTATTTGAGTTCTTAGGGATTATTAAGAAATAAATTAGCTGGGAATTCTTGGGTATGCCTGTAATCCTAGCAATGTGGGGGGTGGGGTGAAGCAAGAGGATCGCAAGTTCAAGTCTAGCCTATACAGCTTAGTGATCCAGCAAGACCTTGTCTCAGAAACAGGCTGAGGATGTAGCTCAGTGTAAACACAAAAATACAATGTAAAGAAAAGTATTTGTGGAATATTGGCAGACTTTGAAGTCTTTCTCATAAATATGTTTAGCAACTGCAGGGAAATTTGTACCAGTGTTATATGTAATACAATCTGACAGTTTATTTAACTTGTTTGTTTTAAAGGAGAAATCTCCAGATCTTATCCAAATGATGCAAACATTACCTCCATTAGAGGATACTTCCACAGTACCTGCTTATTTTTCCCCTGCTTTAGTCCCTTTGAGTTTATCTGTGAGTAACCTCTCAGACAAAAGCAGCTATGATCCGGTGGAGCCACTTGAGCCAGGTAATATTTCTTATCATGCCTTTCATGAGAAATGTATGTTTTATTCCTATTACTTTCACGTTTATCTTAAAATTCTTTTCTAATTACATTAAATTTTCCTCTCCCTAATTTAGAGTTTGATATCTGCGTTTGAATTCATGTTGAATTCATGAATACCCTTACAGAAAAAGCACTCTCAATAGCCCTAAGAGTGACGTGTAATCATAACAGCATTTCTGTGCAGCAATGGTTAATATTTATGGGATATTCCTTTATATTGCCTTTCTTAAGCCCTGAACCAACTCCATGAATGGATGGGAGTTATAGTCTTCATTTTACAAATGAGAAAAGTGAGGTTTGAAGAGACTGCCTAAGATCACTAATAAATTAATTGAATCTGAATTTAAGTGCTGGTTTTCTGGACCTATGTGAAATTCCACACTTTGGTAGTAATGCATAGTGGTTAAGAGTGTGGAGTGTGGAGTTCAGTTGATCTGGGCTTATATCCAGCTCTGCCTTTTACTATATGACTGACTTAATCTAAGCCTTATTTTTCTTATCTTTGAAATGAATTTATTAATGCTTGCTTCAGAAAATGATTGTGAGCATTCAGAGAGATCAGGCATGTAAAATACTTATCATTGAGCTCAGCACCTCTGAAAACCCTTTAGTAACCATGATTATTAATATCACTACATTATTGCTGATTAAGTACAGATTTCATGATTTAAATTTTAATCCCAGCTCTTGCTATTATTCACTCCTTCTACAGAATGTTGTTTCCAGACATTGGTGTATCTTAGTTGTGTCTGTATTTTACTGAAGGATATTTGCTTGGATGGTAGGGCAGAACAAGAAGACTGAGCCATGAGATCAGAAGAAACAGTAGATTTGGATTAAGATAAACCTGAACATCAGGCTTTAAGCCCCATTGCACTGACCATTATTAGTGCCTTTGAGATCAGGAAACTATGAAAAAGTTTGGAAAGTAAAGGATTGGGAACTCAGACAAGAGAAAGCCACAGAAACTGATCATTAAATGTAAACAGGATCTGGTAATGAAGTGATTCCTTGCATCTGACCTACAGCTTTTGTATGGTTCCTTTATTTTTAAAATTAATCTTGGTATAATTTTGATATACATAATGATCACATTCATCATAGGGAATTTGTTCCTGTACATAGTATTTCTTGATTATTATTTTCCCATTCCTCTCCCCTCCAAACCTTTTTTGCTCCTTATTTGCACAAGGTTTGTTTCCATTTTTTCCTTTTATTCTTTTTTCCCTCTTCCTCCCCTTACCTTGTTGTCCTTTTCAGTTGAACATTTTATTCCTACTTCCTAGTATCTATCATCCATTTTCATCCTTATTTATGCTTTTGGTTTCTAACACAAGAGAAGCAATGTGGTACTTAAACGTATCTGTCCGATTTATCTTGCTTAAAAAGTGTGGTCTCAAAGTGCATCCATTTATCTAAAAGTGTCTTAAGGGTAGTACTTCATCACATATAAGAATCACATTTTCTTTATCTATTCATGCATTGATGGGCATCTGAGCTGTTTCCAAGATTTAGCTTTTAAAATTGTGCTGCTATAAACATGGGTGTGCATATATCACTGGGGTATGATGTTTTTAATTCTTGGGAAGATGCCAAGAAGGGGAATAATTGGGTCAAATAGAATCTCTAGTTTGACTTTTCTGAGAAATCTCTATACTGAGATATTGTGTGTACCAATTTACACTTCCACTAACAGTCAAAAAAGATTGCTTTTACTCGAGAGCCTTAACAGTATTTTTAATGGTTGATTTCTTGATGATAAACACTTTTCAGGAGTGAGATTGACTGTGTTGGTTTAATTTGCATTTCTTGAATGACCAGTGATGTTGAATATTTTTTCATATATTTGTTGGCCATTTGTACTTCTTCATCTGAGAAGATCTGTTTCAGATATCCATTTTTGGATTAAGTATTTAAATTTTGTGGATCTGATTTTTTAAAAATTCCTTATATATTCTAGATGTTAGTTCTTTGAGGAATAACTCATAAAAGTTCTTTCACAGTCTGTAGGTTGTCTCTTCACTCTGTTGGTAATTTCTATTAGTAAGTATCAGTGTTGAATAGCACTCTTCAGCTTTGGACAATGAACAGGTAATAGAATCTGAGCAGTGTGTAAAAGGAAAAGAGAAATTTATGATTCGAGGAGAGATTTTTTTCTACTTTATGAGATTTAAATATGAAGCTATTCATGATTTTGTAGCTGGATTAAAAAGAAACTGTATCTCATGATTTTATGACTGTTTATTAAAACTCACAATGACAAGTAATTTGTAAGTTTTAGCCAATATATAATGTGATTTTTTTCTAAATCATTGGCAGACTTTAGTGTTTATATTGGAAGAAAAGAGTAGAGTAGGTCTTGCTCAGAAGGTGACATTTATGCTAAAACATGAAGGATAAGAAAGAACCATACAAAGAGACAGCATGTATGGATTTCAGGCAGAGATTTGGACAAAATGTATAAGGGAAAGCTGACCATGGTGGAATCAGCAGGGTAAGATGATATTAGAGAAAGACATGGTGAAAAATTATTCTTCATTTTGCAAGTGGAAAGAAGCTATTTGATTTGAATCTATTTCTTAAGTATAATAGAAAGGAATTAATGAATTTCAACACATTTCTGCCTTCTCAAACTACTAATGATACATACAAAACTGTCCTATCAAGCAGCTTGTATCACTGGTGGTAGAAGTGTTACAGTCGTGAGTAGGACAATCATGCATTTATCATCAGTGGTTAAAGTTGTTTGGCAGTGAAGTATGAATTATGATCCTGTCGTGAATGTGTTAAAGAGTCAACTGATACATTCTAGTCCAATTTATATTTTAAGAGGATTACTCTGGCTCTATGTGGAAAAGTAGAAGTTATATTTTTCAGCCTTTTGCAAGAGGTGATGGTGTGTGGACCAAAGCATGGACATGGAGAAAAGGGGCAAATTTGAAATATTTCAAATGTAGGTCCCACTAGACTTGGTAAACTTACTAATAGAGTACACATAGATGTAAAAAAAGGGAATAATGTAGGATAATTCCTAAGAAAGAGGTTGGTTAACAAGTTTGAGGAAGAAATTTAAGGATTGACTCTTCGTAAGGAATGCAAGTTGAAATAGCAAATCAGCAGTTTAAAATGCAAGTCTAAAGTTTAGGAAAGAACTCTGGACTAGAGATACAGACTTGAAAATAATCAGCACAGAAATAGTACAGTATTTAAAATCCATGGCAATTGTTGAAATCATCTGTTTGAGAGCAGAGTCAGAAGAGAAGTAATCCAGTATTGTAGTTTTAAGTACATCTAACATTTAGATGGTAGAAGAGGAAGAACCAATAAAGAAACCTTTCTCAATCTTATCTGGGAATAAGGAGAGAAGAGCGAAATTAGAGAGTAGTGTCATAAATACGAAGTATTGCTTAAAGATCAAGAAAAAGAGCTCAAAGAAACATCCAGTACATTTGGTATCATAGCGATTACCAGTGATCTCAACAAGAGCGTTTCCAGAGGAAGATCTGGAAAGAAACCAGAGGGATAACAGTTGAGACATGAATGAGGAATGAGAAAGTGAAGAGGAGATGGGATATCTAGATCATTATGTTGTCTGTGTGGTCATGAGGTAAACTCAGACATCTGAGATAAAAGCTAGAAGAAACTGTGGAGTCACTGGTGAGAAATATTGGAGCATGTTTATATGCCAGTGAAATATCCAGGACTACTTGGTAGCCCAGGAGACAAGATGCAGAGCTCTCAGAAGAGTAAAAAGGCTTGAATGCATAGAAATCTTTGGTAATAAGAAAATTAGAACTTGGATACAAATACAGGAAATTGTGTATGTTTGTTGATGAGATCAGATAGATCAGGTTTGATAGCATCTATTTTCTCAGTCAACTCTGAAACAAAGCCATCAGCTTAAAAGAATTACGATGTGTTTTCTAAACCTATGTTGTATGCCCTCTACAATCTGTCTGTGTAACACTTTCCACGTTTCTGTTCCTTAGATACAGTTCAATTGCTATCTGCTTCATTATATTCAGAGAATATATGATACTTATGAACATAAGTGAGGATTTTCCCATAACATTCTCACCTGCTTTTTGGGCTTCATCTCTCAGTAACCTTTGTCTTACAATCTGTTTCAATCAGGAATATCTAAACGATGGCCCATGGACCAAAACCAGCCATTCACATTGTGTAGTACATAAAGTTTTATTGAAACCCAGCAATACCCATTCTTTTTAGATATTGCCTATAGCTACTTCCATGCTAGATTATTAGAGATTGAGTTAGGACAAGACCGTGTGGCTCACAAAGACTAAAGTACTTACTGTGTGGCCATTTAACAAAAAAGAAATATACTTACCCAATTTTGGTAAACTAAGGAATTTAGAATCTGACTTATTGAAAAGAAAATGGCCTGCAGAATCTGAGATTACCACTGGGCTCTAGAAAGGTCAGTGAAGCTTATTTTCTTGAATTTGTAAAATGGAACATAACACTGACTTTTCTTTTTAACCAAGTGTGTATAAAGGACTGTGTTACTGACTCATGGGAAGCCTTCAATACAAGCTGCTTCGCTCTATGCCCTTTTTCCCCCTGCTCCTTTGCTTATTATGAATGGGCTTCAGTTTTCCCTCTTTCATCTACGTTCGTTACCTGTCAGAATGCTGTTCTGTGTGTCTCTGCAGTGAAAATATGCATGATTTCAAACATGTACATTTGATTTCTCTTTCCCTTATATCATGTGTTTTACATTTGGTTTTAGGCTATAAGTTCAATAATCTTTGGCAGTTACAACATTGCTAATTTTTATAAAATGTATATGTATATCAAAACAGCTGTTATATACCTTAAATATAAATAATACAAAATAATTAATGTTTGTTATCTCTGCATATTATCTCACATGGAATAAGCACTAAATGCCCGTTATGGTTTGTGTCTGGATGACCCCCCAAAGCCTCATGTGGTCATAGGGGTGAGTTTTTGGAGGCTTCTGAATCTAGAGTCTGTGATTAGTCTAGTGGGGGTGTTAGTGCTCTGTCTGCCCTAGAACGAGTGGACTGCATGTATTGTAAGAGTGGGAAAAGAGATTTGTCTTGTTTCTCCCCTTTTTGCTCTTGTTGATTTTGCTGTCTTCCACCCCCATGAACTGTTGCCCCTCTGCCTCAGCATGCTTCCCTGAAGCCAGCTAATTTCAGACTGAAACCTCCATAAACTGTGAGCTAAATAAATCTTTCCTGCCTTCACTTTGTGTGTCATGTATTTTGTCTCAGCAGTGAGAGAAATGTAACACAGTGACTACTTGCTCATTCAATAGAATGGTTTTAAAAGAGAAAGATCACTATAGCCCACCATTTTTAGCAAAGACTTCATTAAATCTAGTGAAAAATTGAGAAAAGTATAATGTTGAATAGAGCTTATGACATAATTTTCTGCTTTATGATGCAATCACTTAGAATTTTTGTGACAGGCCCTAGGTGTTTGAAATGGTCATTTATTGCTACAGCTTAGCTGGGTTGTTCAGGCTCAGGGTCTTTTGTGGAATTGCAGTTACACTGCCGAATAGGGCAGCAATTATCTTAAACCTTGATTGGCTTGAGGCCATTGACAAAGAAGGCTTCATGTCTTCACCACATAGACTTCACAGTTCACGTTGTTCTTCCCAGAGAAAAAGAGAGACAGACAGACAGATGGACAAACACAGAGACAGAGAGAGAGAGATAGAAAGAGAGAATACATGTGTGTAACCAAGACAAAAGGTAAAATGACATCACAATGTGTTTGCATGTTAAGTTCACCATACACATTCATATCAATCTGGCACAGTGTGCAAAGGGAGTTACTCAAGGTAAGAATATTGGGAAGGCTAACCCCCAGTGCTCAATATCTGGGTAGTGTTTATCCCAAAGAAATAATATTTGCTTGTCCCTATGAGTAAAGCAGTTGTTATCTCACTGCTAAGTTTTGAAACTTTTAAAATGTTTTAAAGCATATTATTACTGTGAATGAATTCTGCTCAACTGAGATTAGAGGACCTTTGGTAAATTTACAGTTGCACTCTATATTACAAAATAATTTCTATTTTTGTGCATTTCTTTTTACTTTCCTGTTGAAATCTGGATTTCTTTTTTCCTTTTTAATCATTCAGATGTTTGTCAAGACAAAATGACAGAAGAAAGAGACACAGAAAATTTTTCATCATTAGATTCAGAAAGCCTGGGAGAAACTACTGATGTCTTAAATATGGTAATAAGTTCCTATATATCTATCTAGATATTAATTTGATTTGACTTTTAGTTCATCGTCTTTGTGTCTCTGCTTTCTATATTGTCTAAAAGTTGCTGCTTTTTGTTAAATTTTAACCAAAGTATAATTTGTACAATAAATTTGTTTCTGTCACATCATCAGGATGGCAATCAAAAGATATTACTATCTGAACAGTTCTACATTCATTTTATTTATTTATATTTAAAGTATATGAATATATAGTATTTGTTTATTTTGTCACATACTTTTATTTATTTCAGACACATATGGTGAGCCTGAGCCCCAGTGACAAGTCATTACAATTTTCGCCAATTCAAAAACAAAAGGTATATTATGGAAAGTTGTTTTTATTATAATGAATAAGAAGTTTATTTTTCTTAGAAAGATTTCTGGAAAGAACATGAGAAAGGTAAGCATTTACTTTAGGATTGAAAAAACGGAGTACAATGTAGATGACCTCCATTTTACTTGTTCTGTTGGTATGTATTTTCTGTGATACAAAAAATTGATAGAATTTCATTGCTAGAACAGTTAATTTTTTATTTTTAAGCAATAGATTAAAATTGCAGTTCTTGTTTATAGAAAAAGTCTGATGGTTATCAGAATGGCTGTCTGACTTTGGTAGAGTATGACTGAGTGGTACTAGGTTGCCTTTACTGGATGATATTAACATCTTTTCTAAATGTTGTGATTTTAGTGAAAAACCTTGGTAATCATGTTTCAAGTTTTTGAATTAAGTTTTATCAAGGAATGAATAACATAGAAACATGATTAAAGTAAAAACTTGCAAATTAAAGATGATTCATGAGAAGAGACTTTCAAATTAATAACAAATAGCAAGAGGAATGAATAGTCTGGTTTCCATAATCCTTGAGAAGTAAAGACCTTCCCTGAATTTTTTTTTTCTTGACCTTAAGAGCCAGTGGAGAGAAATGATAAGGAGTTTGCAGGTTAGGAAAATAAAGCAGAAAAATGTAAATTGAGGGAGAAAGACTATAAAAAGCATTTAATTGTATTGTTAGTGCATATAATTATTACAAGTCCTAAAAACCCAAACCAATGAAATTGAAGAGAATCTTGCTAAATTATGTAAATTTAAAGCCAGTATGTAGTTTCAAGGAGCCATCTTTCTTGGGACTTTCCTTTTCTCTTATGCTCTGAGTTTTGCCTTTCCTGGACTGCTTCATTATACTACGGAAAGACAGACATTTAGAAATGAATTCTGAAAGTTCAGAAGACTATATCACTTTGAACTATATCCCTTTGAAAAGAACTTTCAAGTTATAAGACTCTAAAGAAGAGAACTAGAACAAATAGAAGAAGAAAGCTCTTCCTTTTATACATACACTTCCTTCATGAAAGCATTTCCTTTTATATATATGTGTGTGTGTGTGTGTGTGTGTGTGTGTGTATTGCTACAATTAAGATATACATAGTGATCACATTCATCATAGGGAACTTATGACTGTACATGATACATCTTAGTTCCTCTTTTTTTTCCTATTTTGCTTCCCTCCCTTCAACCCTTCCCTTATTTATAAAATTTTGTTTCCATTTTATCCTCTTCTCATTTTTTGATTTTCCTTGCTCCCCCTCCTGTTCGTCTTTCCTTTTAACAACTTCTTCCTATTTCACAATGCCTATTACACTTTTTGATTCTTACTTATACTTTGTTTCTCATTCCAGAGAGACAGTGTTATGTATGTATATATATTTCATACTTCCCATAGTCTTTTTAGGCTTTACTAGGCTTGTTTTACTGAGTTAAAATGATTTGTTATACACTATTATTACCATACAATTAATATTTGTTAGCTTGTTAATTTGTAACTTGCCATGTTTTAATAATTTCTTTGGGGAAAATGATAAAGCTCTTTGTAGGCCTTTCTCATCACAATTTATAAATTCTATTTACTAAGGTTTTTGTCACTCAGAGACCACCCAGAGACTTTAGTAGATCTTTGAGTTTGTTAGTTTTGAGAATTTGGTTCAGCAATTTGGGTTTATCTTTTTTATTGAACGGGAAATTATTTCACATTATTAGTGTATTATTCAGATCTTAGTGTTTGATTTCATAGTTTTTATACAAATTTTACATTTTACCTGAGTATCTTTCATTAATGATTTTCCTATCCTCAAGTAACTGTAATGAGCATATTATAGATAAAAGGAAGAGGGTCCGAAATGTGAAAACCCATATAGAGATTTTGCTTAGAAAAAATGCATTCATTATTGCTTTTATATAATTTATTTATACTTTCTATTTTAGTTTTTCTGTAGAAATAAGCTATTTGTGTAATTTTGTATTTAATTTTGTGAATTTTAAGGGTTCAGGATATAAATCAAAATTACAAATGAGATAAAAATGATACAGAAATTATAAAACATACTGAGCTGCAAGAACAATGTAAATTTTTAAAATAATCTTGCAGAAACAGACTAGATTTGAATCATATGTTGGGATAAATTCAGAATAAGGAGCAGAGATAAATATTAATGGTGTGATTAGTGGAGAAATCAATTCAGGTATTAAGAATCCAAAGTTAAACACGTGTATCATTAAAACAATATTAGATATTCTGCAGACCTACAGAATGGCAGAAATTATCCCTAAAGAAAAGAAAGCCCCAACAAAATGGCTAATAAAAGTAGACATTTTTATTTTCTTAGTAAAACTTATAAAAATATAAATATTTCCAGTAATACTTTATAGGTGATGTTACTTTTGTCCACTAATAGTAGTATGACAATGACTTCAAAACATTTACAGAAACAAGATCCAGTTGAAAATCTGATGCAGCATACAGCTTGTACTGAAAGTGATGATAGTAATGAATGTGAAAATGAAGAAATGTCAGAAATGAAAGAAGGGAAAGCATATAAACAGGTAGCAGAAGGAATCATCATGATGCAAGCAGCTGAGACTTTAGAAGCCTTTTCAGATGAGGAAGTAGATAATGTCTCAGACCTGGTGGAGCCTCAGATCGACACCAATGAAAACTGTATGCAAAAAGAGATGCTTAGTCATGAAAATAAAAGTGGTGTTGATCAAATTGATGCTAAAGAAATAGAAAAGGAAAACCATGGAGAAGAAATAATCCCTGAGAAGAAAACTGAGCAGGTGGAAGTGGCAGGTCTGAATGATATAAGAGAAGGAGAAGAGAATCTAAAATGTGTAAATTATGATACATTATTTGATGATGTATCAGATAAAGACGTGAATTCTGAGAATGAAGAAGACGAGGGTTTTGTTAAGGAAGGAAAAAGTAGAAAGGAAGATGTGATCTTTGACAGTGAAAGAAAACTGATAGAAGAGCCAGAGAGTTGTGTGGCTCGTGAAAGCCGCATTCAATGGGATAAAGCTGACAGTTTCCTGAATCCCAGGTCAATAGAATTTAGTAATGAAGATAATGATGATGAAGTGGAAACTGATCACAGCTTGTGGCTTGAAAAACAATTGAATGAACAAGAAGTTAATTCTAAACTCAGAACAGCAAATTTCGTGGCCCAGTATAATTTTCAGTATAACGACTTGCCAGTGATACCAGAGGAACAGGAAGAAGCAGAGGATTTAGAAGAAACCACAGTAAAGGAGCAAGTGGTAGAGGCACATAACAAAAATGTGGAGGTTGAAGGAGAAAAAAAGGAGGAAGCAGAGACCCTGTCAGATGACTATACAGACAGAGCAGAGGTGAGTGAAGGGAAGGAAGAGGCAGAAGGAGAGGCAGGGGTTGGACCTGAAGATGGAGGGGACCAAATCTGTGAAGAAGGCAGTTCAGGAGTAGAACAATGGCAAAGGGAGGAAGGACATAAAGGTAAGAGAGCAGCACAAATAGGGAACCTAGATAAGGAAGAGGAGGATCTAGAAGAGGAAGGGGAATGGGAAGAAAAAAGTGATGAAGAACAGGAGAAATTGGAGAGAGGCAGAGGGTACCAGGAAGAAAGAAACCAAGGGATGGAAGGAGAAGTAGAGAAGCAAGGAGAGGGCAAGGAAGAATGGGAGGAGGAAAAGGGAGGAGGGAGCAAAGGAGAAAGTGCAGAAGAGGAAGAGAGGGGGAAGGGAAAGAAGGAAGGAGAGGGAAAAAAGGCCAGAGGAGAGGAGGTAAGGGAAGAAAAAGATGGAGAAGAGGAAGGAGAGAAGGAAGAAGAAGGAGAGAGGAAGGGAGACGGGGAAGAGGAAGAAGCAGAGGTAGAAGAAAAGGAAGGAGACAAGCGAGTAGGAGAGGGGGAAGATGAAGAGGAAGGAATAGGGGAAGAGGAAGAAGGGGAGGGTGAGGGAGAGGAGGATGAAGAAAAAGTGGAGAAAAAGAAGGAAAGAGAGGAAGCACAAAAGGAAGAAGAAGAGGGAGAAGAAGGAGAGGGAGAAGGGGAAGAAGAAGAAGAGGAAAGAGAGGGAGAAGAGGAAGGAGAGAGAAAAGGAGAGGAAAGAGAAAGAGAAGGAGAGGCAGAAGGGGAGGAAGGAAAAGAGATACAGAGAGAAAGCGAGGAAGGAGAAGAGGCAGAAGGAGAAGGGGAGGAAGGAGAAGAGGAAGAAGGGGAGGAGGGAGAAGAGGGAGAAAAGGGAGAAGGGGAGGAAGAAGTAGAGAGAGAAGCAGAGGAAGGAGAGGAAGAAGGGGAGGAGGGAGAAGAGGAAGAAGGGGAGGAGGGAGAAGAGGAAGAAGGGGAGGAGGGAGAAGAGGAAGAAGGGGAGGAGGGAGAAGAAGAAGGGGAGGAGGGAGAAGAGGAAGAAGGGGAGGAGGGAGAAGGGGAGGAAGGAGAAGAGGTAGAGAGAGAAGCAGAGGAAGGAGAGGGAGAAGGGGAGGAAGGAGGAGAGGGAGAAGGGGAGGAGGGAGAAGGGGAAGAAGGGGAGGAGGGAGAAGAGATAGATAGAGAAGCGGAGGAAGGAGGGGGAAAGGGGGAGGAAGGAGAAGAGGGAGAAGAGGAAGAAGGGGAGGAGGGAGAAGGGGAAGAAGGGGAGGAAGGAGAAGAGGTAGATAGAGAAGCGGAGGAAGGAGGGGGGAAGGGGGAGGAGGGAGAAGAGGGAGAAGGGGAGGAAGGAGAAAAAGGAGAGAGTGAATGGGAGGAAAGAGAAAAGGAAGAACGAAAAGGGGAGGAGGAGGAAGGAGAAGGAGAAGGGAAAGAAACTGGAACAGATGAAGAAGAGGAGGAGGAGGAAGAGGTAGAGTATAAGAGACAAGGGAAGTTCCAAAAGAAAAGTAAAAAGAGTAAAATGCAGCGTGATAGTGAAAAGCCAAATGTGAGCAAAATAAAAGAATCTATGAAATACAACAAGCATAGAATGTATCAAAGGAAGCTGATTACTAACCCAGAGGGAAAGGGGAAAGAGCAGAGTTTCAAAATGGCAAAGCAGCCAAAGCAACTTTTAGACAAGGTGACACCAGGTTCCAAAAAATTCTGGAATAATGTGTTACCACATTATTTGGATTTGAATTAACAACCATTAAATTTGACTTGACTATAGCCAAATCATTTGAGTGCCTTTCATGTAACAGGCACTCCTTACATTTTATTAAACTAATTTTGTATCATGGTTATTTTACATCTAGTAAAGGAACAACTGCCAGGTATGGTGGTGCATACCCAGTACTTGGGAGACTGAGGCACAAAGGATTAGTGAGTTTGAGGCCAGCCTGAATTACATGATGAACCCTGTTTCAGAGAAAAAAACAAAAAGAAACAATTATTGGCAGTTTTGTTAAGGTGTCAGGAGCCACAGAAATCATTGATAAATTTTAATACCTCTTACACTGATACTTTGTTACAAATCTTTAAAAAGTTATGTCTGATAATTAACCTTATACCTTCATCATTAAAGACAGATTTGAGAGCTAGAAATACACTTTAGCATATATAATATATTTAATGTGTATATGAACATGTATAAATATATACATGTATATACACATATACACACTCTTGAAGTCCGTTTTAAAATATTACACATCCTGCACTCGGGAATGTGAGACACCCAGAGGATTACCTTGAGTTTAAGACTAGCCTGGGGTACATAATGAGTTCAAGGCCAGCCTAAACTGAATAGCAAGACCCTATCTAAAAAAATACACATCCTTAAGGGTTAATCAAAATTTCTGACTTCTTATAAATTTACTAACACATTTTCAATCTTTGATTATATTTTACCTACTACATAGAATAATTTTATAAGAATGAATGGTATTCTAAAATGAAAATGAGGGATTTATATTTTAAAGGAATAATTCTCTTCTTTAAATTTTCTTGAACTTTTTGACCAAAACTTACAAAGTGACAGCTATGTTAAGTGCTTCGATCATAATAATGTAATCTCTTTACGTTAGTGTCTAGGCAGATACCAGTATAATGAAGTAGAAACTAACTGTTATGTAAGGCTATGTAGACTAAGTGTTTATCTGCTAAAGCTACTCAATGAGCCTCATTTGTAAAATATAGTAGAGATGACACGGCTATACTCTCTTTTAACTCTTAAATTCTTTTCATTTTGACAGACTGATTTGCTCTATCATTTTATTTGCATAAAAACTTTTTAAGAAAGAAAACTTACACTTTAACATTAATTTTTTATAAAATATTATCTCTTACTCATAAAATATTGTGATAGATTTAATGTCTCTGTTTTATATAATTCTGTATTTCTGAAGTCTTCAAATTTCTGAACTTTAACTGTACTGTTAGAATCCTCATCCTCATATCTGTTAATGTGCCTTTAAAGTATTCTTTATTAGCATTTCTGTAATTCTCAGTTTGCTATTATGTGTTAGAATGTTTCAAGTAAAATAAAGATTAAAGTACACAACTAGTAATTGTTTGTGGAAAACTAATATTAGATATTAGATTTTACATAGGCTGGATTTTCACTAGGGTAATTTCCGTCTTCCTTTAAAATTTCCATTGTGTGTGATGCAGCTATTGTGTTTGATTCTTGTGTACTCTTAGCTCCTTTTTCAATTGATCTCCTTAACTAGTCAGTCACTTCCCTATGTGTACATGAGGCATTTCTTACATTTTTATTAAGAAACATTTTGGTGGTAAACTTCCTTTGAATTTTGTGTAGTTGAATTCTTTGTACATTCACTTCCTTATGAATGAAAAAAAAGTAAGAAAAAAGGACTAGAATTAATGAAGTAAGGAATTTCCTAGGATCAGTTGTAAATTGTATTTTAGCTAGAAGGATCTCTGGAAGCTTACACTAATCAAATACAGTGCTACCTCTGTCCATGAATATGATTCTTCACATGATTCTGATTGCAAACTGAGTTGAGTGAGAACTGAATCAAATTCAGTGCTTAGGTTCCATGTTGATATAGGGGAAATGTGATTCAGTTCTAGTCTAGTTTGGTTTGAGACCAGAATTGTGGAGAGACTTGAGTTCGTGAACTGAGGTATCATTTTCACTGACTTGCTATTGTACTTGACAACATTCTGACACATCCATTAAGTGTTTATATAGTAGAATTAATACTGTGGTAATGTATATATTCCAGATATTGTTGTTTAAAAAATAGATTTAAAATGATTAAATAAGATGGATGATAGATGAAATTCCTACAGGGAATTTATAAGGACTTGCCATGAAGAAGAGAAACTCTTAAAGTCAAGTTATAAATGTTAAAGGTAGGGGCATTTATCTTCTCTTGGTAAGAAAACCACAAATAATGAAATGATATTCTAAGGTATACTCATTTAAAAGTTTTGAACTTTTAAATAGCATTTCTTACCCATTTTTTTCACATTTCCCAGGCTAGCATCTTTGTGTGCTTTAGAGGGAGTAGTTCCTGTGGGTATAGTACTCAAGTCAGAAGAGCACTGGTTATTTAGAGACCAGGGCCCTACTCCAGCTTTGTGCTTTTATACTGTATGAACTTGGGCCTCTTTCTTAGTGTTTGCAGGCCTCCATTTCTTTATTTGTAAAAGTGTACAATTAGAATAGGTGGACAAAGTGATTCTATAGAAATACCAATTAGAACTTTGTCAGAACTAGAATTACTGATACCCCTTTCACCAGTAGTCTTGAGTCACCCAAAGCACCCCACTTTTAACTAACTTATAGTTGCAGTGATCATCAACCAAGCATGCCACTGTCTGTGCCCACTGTGCTGTGAATATATGTTTAATCATGTATGTGTCAGGCCTAGTGACTTCTACAGTTAATGAAAAGGAGCTTATCAGTGGCTAGTGGTGGGATGGCATAAGGGATGAGAAAACTAAGACTTTCATGAATAGAAGTGATTTCAATATTTATAACGCCTATATCTTAGGAGAGAAAGAAATTGAAATTAAGAATGGGATCATTTTTTTCCCTCATGAGTTACACTTGATTATACAGATTAAGATAACTCATTCCTTCTTTATTGTTCCCATCCACTGGTTGCTCAAGCTTTTATTGTAGCTTATTACTGAGGGAAGTGTGAGTTGTATGTGTAGAATCCCTCAAGTTACAGTTTCCTAATGAGGACTCTGGCAGACAAAGACTTTTAAGGTAAGCTGCAAAGGAGTACCCAGAAGCACCTGCTGCTGATGAATAGCAGCACTTAAGGTACGTATAACTGAAATGTCCTTTATCAATTTATTGTAGAGATAAACTTACTATACATGTATAGGTAAAAAATAAAATGCACCATGGAAAAAGGTGCTATAATCCCTTGCTTTAGTCTTTTTATTGTATAAACTCCGTGCCTGTATCTGACACATGGCTTAGTATTAGGTTTACATTATTCATTCAACAAATATTTATGTACTAAACAGCAAAGAGAATCTTCACCAAGTCAGGTAGTTTTTAAGAAGTGAGACCAGCTTACTTGTCTACCTCCTGTGGCCCTCTTAGCTTCTAGGTATACACTGAGAATACCAATGTAGCTCTGCCTTAAATATTGCTTAATAATGCCCATTGTTTCCTGGGGTCCCTGTGTTCTTATCCAAGGCTGCCCAAAGATAAAAGCGTGCCTAAAATCTATGGCTTTTGTCCACTGAATTCTTTAATGAGAAGAAGAGTTTTGTGTTTTGGGTATGCAATTAAGAAGATACAGACCCTGATCTCAAGGAACTCTATGGGGTGATCAGAAAATTTACTAGTACAGTAAAGTGTGTTAGGAAAGGGCCCCCTAGAAGTGAGTGGGGAAACTTGAACTGAGTCATGTCAAGTAAAACATAGCTGGACAAAGGGCCTAAGGGATGTGGACTCTCTCTTATGGGAGTCATGAAAGTGTTTGGGTGAACAGTAGCCTAGGATATACTTTGATGTTAGAGAGACAGAGATTTTTATGTTTGCGAAAGATGTTGAAGGAAGGTATCAGTTGACCATACTTGGGTTTTTATTTTTTTAACAGTAGGAAAATTTATTGTAGAAGAGAAATGGGGAATAGGAATAGTTCCTGAGAGACAGAAAGGGTCCCAAATGGGTTGCCCTATACTTAGGTTTTTATAAAATCATTATGGCAGCAATATGGAGGGTACACTTAAAGGGAAAAGGGTGAGTCAGGGACCCTAGTTAGGGGACAATTACAGTAGACTAAGTACAACATGAAGGGAACCTGAACTAGGAAAGTGGAAATGAAAACTTGGAGGCCTTAAAATGGAAGAGATTTACAGATAGAATCCAGTTCTTAGACTTAGTAAAAAGAAGTAGCTAGACAGGAGGGAAAAAGCCGTCCTTTCTTATTTCTGACCTAAAGAACTGAGTGGAAAGGTCTATTTACCAAGACTGAAAATAGGGGAATAGTAGTACATTTGGAAGATGGCCTTGAACTTGGAGATTTTGGATGGTCTCCAGGAAATTTTCATTAGCAGACACTTGTATGTGTCTGGAGCTGAGGTGGGTAGCTGGGTATCACTAACTTATATACATAGCTAAAACTGGATTTGTAAGAGAGGAAGTGTTTCTAGTGTGAAAAAACTGAAAAAAGAATTCATGGAAACATCAATATGTATGGGGGAGGTGAGAAATCAAAATTAGAGAAAGAGACAGCAGACTCTCACCTAGGATAGAGAGGTACTGCCCAAGTTAAGGAAGGGATTTCTTGAGAGCAAAAAGTAGAAGCTGTTGTGAGGACCTCTAGGAGGAGGCCTGGTAAGAGAACCAGGGAAGAACCAATACTGGCAGCAAAGAATGAGTTCCAGGAAGTCTCCCTTGCAGAAAAGTAGAATTAAGACTAAACTCTAATACATAAATATCAGACATAAAGTATACTAGGCCTATTTCTCAGTTTATGAAAGGAGATGTATATTCCAGAGACTCAAGTCTCCAGGAAAACATCTTAAATTTTTGTTTGCTATTAAGGTATACAATGATACGTAGGAATAGGATGTTATTGGTGGGCGTTTATGAACCAAATAAAGACTGTTAGGAACCCATCTCACTGACCCTCCCTCTGTGAGACAGAAGTGCATAGTCTGAAATTCTGCTGCAGGACTGCTGTTTTTTCTAACTTACTTTTCATTTTTCTAACCTGCTTCTCATTTATGTACTTCTCTGAATGCATCTATTTACTGTAAGTTTTCAATGTAGTAATCTTGCTTTTCATTCTGTAATATACAATATAGATTACCTAGAGGGAAAATCATGCAGGAAAAAGAGAAAATTTTAGAAGTCATCAGTAAATGGTTAGTCTGACCTAACATAACTGCAAAAGAAAAAAAACTTAGTATAGGATAAAAGTTAAAACCCATTTTCTGGTTTAGTCTGTTAAATCTGTACACAGGTTATTTTATAATTTGAATTGACTGGATAGTAGCCAAATAAAAGTTTGGCCTCTGCTTGGTTTTCCCTCTGCTTTTAATATTCAACAGCAAAGTATTTAAACTGTCTGTGTCTTTTTTATCTTTTTCCTTGAGAACATAGTTATACTTAACTGTTATAAATACCAGTGAATTCTACCTCTGGAAGGATTTTAAAGCACTATATTTTAGAAAATAAACAGACGTAATTATGTTGTAATACTGAAGTAAATAGAAAACTTCTCTCAAATTTAAAAGCAATCTTTAGAGACACCTTAGAGAGCATATGAAATCTTTTCCACTGTAACCTAGCCATAATATAATAGAATTTTGGAATCTTAGTCATTGACATGGAGCAGCATGCTTAAAATCTTTGGTAATGTACTTAACTTGATATTCAGTATGGATTATACAATATTTTATTTCTTCAGCTTCTGTATATGATTTAATATTCTACATGTTTTAGATGTTATAAATTATGACAGCAGTATCAAATCTCATTTATAAAAATCTTACTCTTCTTTGATGATCAATTTTGTCACAGGATCAAGACTTATCAGAAACCGAAGATCCAGAACTAGAAGATATGGATAAGGAAATTGATGCCAAAAGTCAGAAAGATATGATGAAAGCTATAGCTGAAGATGAAAAAGAAGGGTCAGAAAATATTGATGACTCAACTAAAGCTTACATACAGGTATGATAGGTGCTTCAGTCCTGAGGCCCTGTCTAAGAAAAGTACAAATCATTTATGATAGCAATATCAAACCTCTTTTTTACAAAAGAAAATTTTATGCTGCTTTGATGATTAATTTTGTCACAGGATGAAGAATTTTCAGAAACTGAAGATACAGAACCAGAAGACATGGATAAAGATATTGATGTCATAAATGAGAAAGAGGATGTTGAAGCTTTGGGTGGTGATGAAGCTTCAAAAAATATCAATGTTGACTCAACTGTAGTTGACAAACAGGTATAATGATAGGTGCTTTAGTCCCGAGATCCTGCCTAACAAGTGTATATTAGATCCCCCTGTCCCTGCAGAAGTCGTCAGATTTTACTTTCTTTTGGGAGGAAAAAATGCTTCTGTGAATAACTTTATGTGGCGTGGGCTTTTAGGAATCAAGCAAATGTCTCTAGTGAACTTTTCTCCCTGCTTGGTGGCATTCTGTTTTCCTGCATAAATGGGAGTCCAATGGTATAGTCAGGATCGTGTGTTATTGGGAAAGGAGTAAAATAACTTTGGGCATCTGATATTTGAAATGTTAAAGGTACAAAGTTAAGAGTCCAGGTACAGGTGGCAAAATGGAATATATTGTATATATTGATGAAGAAAATTGGTTACAACAGTATTAGAGGTTGTGATCAGTTTTTCATAGGTGCAATGTAGATGAAAGTATCTATAGGTAGAGTAAGAGAACATACCACTCAGGAAGCAAAGATCATCTTGAAAGTAGAGCTATAAATGCCCAAATAGGTTTCCTCCATTTGACTGTTTTGCCAACTAGGACACAGATGGTATGTTTGAAATTGTTTTGCTTATAGTACTGTGGATCAATTTGAAAGACACAGAATTGTGAAGTCCAAGACTGAATGACACTATATTAATTTATTGTCACTTTTAGAACCTCATGCAGGGCACAGATTGATCATACCTTTTAGTTGACAAAATACTGTTATTCTTTGCAAAGATCTTATTTAAATTCATTCTATTTTAATCCTATTTCTATCTTTAGTTTCACTAATATAGACAACTAATGTGTACTTGTGAGAATGTATCATTTTTGTCCATGGCTTTTTAACTTAAAAATGTTGCTCTTTAGAAGTCATTCTTTGGTTTCTTCTGTTTCTAAGGCTTCTTCCTCTTACTGAGGAATAAATGTTCCAGCAGTTATATTTTTTTTCAGAAGGGCAACATGATTTTGTTTAGAGAATTTAAAAATTAATTTTAGAGTGGTCCCTAATACCTTTTAACATGGTAATCACTTAATACCAATTTAACATTGTAAAATGTTGAGACAAGTCGTATGCCAGTTCAGTTAATATTCCTAAATCTTCTTTGAGGAGAATTCTTAAATCATACAGTTTTTTAAACCATAGAATTGTATGCTAAAAGAACATTAACAGTAAGTCATCATCTAAAGGCCCTCATTTTAGCCCAATAAAGTGTGTAATCATTACACAATTATGTCATTAACTAGAATCAGGCTCTAGAACCTTCCTCAAAAGCCAAAACTGTTTTCTAGCACAGAACAAACACATTTTAATGATATTGTTTATTATTTATAGGAAAAAAAAAGCAAACTAGAAGAACGGGCTATGCATGAATACAATGAAAATCCAAAAGGTATGAGTACATTTGACTTTGAAAGCATATTTTTTCTCTTTTTAAATTGATTTAATCAAAATGTTGAAAGTATTGATTGTTTTATTAGCATATGTTTATGAAACATCATAATTACATTCATTTTGTGGAACTGGTACATGTATGTAGCATATCTTGATCATTTCCATCCCTTTACCCTTCCTCCATATTTCCCATACTCTTCTCCAACAATTCAGCCTTTTGTTTTTATCATTTTTCCATTGTTTTACTTTTTATGTTTTAAATTTCTCTTAGAAACCATAAAAGTATACTTTTATAAAAGACTAGATACAAACATACATACATGTATATGTAGGCATATATATTCTGTAATTAGATAATTACAAACTCAGATGTATATTATTTTTTGTACATTTTACCATCATATGACCCTGATGGAAAGATGTGAAATAGCGTGACATGTACTTTTCTGTTTTATACATATGAATTATTCATACTACTCATAAGCATTCATGTCAGTGTCAGGGATTCAGAATAGCTGTTTTACTATTCTACTTAATATTATTGTCAGATTTTTACCCCAAATTCCAATTTATATATCAAATAAACACTGGACTTCTTCGCCCAAGTTAGGATGCTCAGCCTGGCTTAGAGCCCAAGTTGTCATCCATTTATCGATCCAGGACCAAGAACTGAGTCTCTGATATTACTGTGGATTTTGAATAGCTCAGCTATTAGTGTCAGGGAACAGGTATTACAGAATAGAGGGAAATGAGGGATGTCTGTGATTGACTGAGAACCTAAATTTTCTAGATCTGAATCATCTATGTTTGCTGTAACTCATGTTTTCACAGCATCATACCACAGTATTCTTTTTACTCCATTCTAACTAAAAGTAACTGTCAGACCTAATGTTCTTAAGACCATACCCAGTACCACATACATACATACATAAAACAACACAGTATTATTACTGGCTAATTGATCTTAACTTAAGCAGTGGAAGAATAGTTTCCTTAATTTTTTATAGCTTCTGCAGCAAGAATAGTAGTAAGCTTTAGAATATTTTCAGCCAAATGTTAAAGTATCATCTCTATTGTTAGCATATAGACTATAGTGTCAAAAAATTTGAATAGAAACTTTAAGTAATTATTTATATGAAACTTAAAAAATTACATATGCTTTATAAATATACTTTAAAGATCATTGCTCAACTATATAATATTCAGTTTAATTCTAAATATCAAAAAATAATGTCTATTTGAGTGCAAAGACTCGAATTATACTAGGTTAATTCAAAACATAATTTATATTTTTACAAGAAATCTTCTCTAATATTTCTTATTGCCTCTGTAGCTGCATTTTGATAAAGATCATCTAAAAATTTCAATATTGATCAGATCTTTTTGGACATTTAACTTTTCAGGAAATATACAGTATAGACATTGTCTACTACTCTAGCAGTGAGCTTTTTTATATTACTCCAAAATTCAAGAATTGATAAGTATTTTTTCTCTTTCTAATTAATTACAACAGTGTTTTTAAAATATATCCAATTATAGGAAACACGTATAATTGTGCAGAGAACAGTTTTTCAAGGACTGGGGAAGTTAATGAATCAGGACCAAGTAAAGACACAAAAATACCCAAAAAAGTAAGTGAAAAATAAATTTTCCATTTTAGGGTTGATTAAAATATTAAATTGTTTCTTCTACTTTTCATGTGGTGATTCATATAATTTGACTCCTTTAGTGTGTGTTTTTATGATCCAAAACTAATTAAATTATTTCAGGTTGGTGTTTCACATTTCTAATAAACCACCTTCCCTTTGGTTAGTATTTGCTGGAGAGATCTTTTTCTTTTCCATTTCCTTTTTTTACTTGTTTTAGATGTATCCTTGTAAATAACCTATACAGCTAGACGGTGCCTTTGAAATTTTCACATGAATACCTTAAACTTAAAACTAATGTTCCTGTTTCCTAGCTAATACTAGGAACTTAGAATAGTTTATCTTCTCATGTCCTTCTCATTTTACACGTTATTGTACCCAATATTTTAATTTTTTTATCTTCACAAATCATGTTACTTGGTTTTTTGCCATTTGCTTTACTCATCATTCCTTTTTCTGTCTCAGACATTCTTTCTGGGATCCTTATTCTTCTTCCTGAAGAAACCCTTTGGAAGTTCTTGTTATAGATGCCTGTTGGTAGCTTACACTTTGAGTTTCTGTTCACTTGATAGCATGACTTGTTGGCATTTATTTTCTTATCATCTGTGCTCATGATTACTGCTAATACTACTTTATTATAATTGCTTATATGTTTGTGTATTAACCTGTCAATCCTCTTTGGCTGTCTTTTTAGATTGCTTGTTTTTCGTTAGTAGGTTTCAATTCACTATGAGATGCCTAGATGTGAATTGTTTTATTATAATTTCATGGAAATTGACTATGAATGTGATTTTGAATTTGAGAAGTTTTATCACCCACAGTTTTTAAAAATAGTACCCATTATATGTTGTAATATTACCTTTCTTTTCTTTTGAACTCTGATAGAAACTTTTCATTTTGTTGTCCACATTTTTAACATCAATTTCATATTTTTATACTGTGATATTCTGGGTCATTTGAGGGATTTTATTGATTTTATTTCACTGACATTTTAAAAAATCTACTTACTGAGTTTTAATTTTAATGATTATACTTTTTCACTTTTAAGTGAAGTTTTATATTGGTTCTTTTTAAAAATCCATCTACAAAGTGAGTATCTTGTTTCCTGCTTTAAATAATTCAAGCATATTTATTTTCTTCTCAGTATTTCTTAATTTTAATGTTAGTCATCCTTAAGAGTTGAAAACTATGTTTGCTCTGAATGAGTTGCTAATGGTGTCTTGCTAATGGTGCCTTGTTTCCATATGTGTTTTGAAATTTGGATTGTGTTCAACCACAAACTTTCTTGTGGAAATCCTGTAAGGCCTAGGTTAGAGTGATTCTATCCATAGAGAATAGTTATTGGCCCCACTGTTAGCTCTGAAATAGGTAAAGAAACACCTAAGGTTAGTTTCCTCCTTATGGGTTGTTTACCCACACTGGCAATATGAGCTTTAAATAACCTAAGCAAAACATTTTTCTTCTTCACTAAAATGACAGACTAGAAAGGCATGTATTTTGTTATCTCCCAACATTTCCCTGTTCAGTTACATTAAGGACATAACCTCTAGAGAACTCTATATTATGGGAGGACTTCGTCCCAGTTTCCCACATTTTGTGATACTGAATTTGTTAAAACCCAGTGGTCTAAATTATGAGAGCAACAAATAACATTTCAATACTTAGCTCTGAAAATTGTTGCTACTTACACATTTTTTGGCCTACAGGGATTTTCCCTAATTTTTGTATGTGACATTACTTATACATTATAAAATTCTATTTGTATACTTATTGAGCATTTCTTGGTATTTTGTAGTGGCAGAATGTTTTCAAGATGTGTATTCCTCCAACATAGCAGGCACAGGAATGCCTCTATGTTAACCCATAGGCCCTTTTTATAGACTCTTGACTTTTGGGGTTACAGCTTTTCCCTCTAGTTCCTCCATTTCTAAGGCTAAAGCTTGCTGTATTTTCTTCCCCTGACTTTCTTCTGAGCTACCTCATCTTCCCAATTTTTCTTCTGCTGACCTCTGTCCTTAGTGCTGGCTCCATTCCATCAGCCTGCTTCTTATATTTTGCCATTCTTCAGTCTCCTTATATTCTCTTTTCTGCCTGCTAGGAATTCTTAAGAACTCTTCAGCTTTTCTTCAGCTTTTACTTATATTCTTCATATGTGGCCTTCTCTGAACAACAGCTACATATATCCTATTGCCTACTCAGACCTACAAGGCTTACATAGCCAATCATTTGGAAACACTAACATTTTGCCAGAAATTCTGATCTACAAGAATAGGGAGATATGCCCTCTTTCTTCAAAATGTTACAAAAGAAAATCTAGGTAGCTGAGATACAATGGGGATGCCACAAAATGAACCATTTTGGCTATATTTAAATGTTACAATAAGTAATATCCTAGTGTTAATCTTTTTCCCTTTTACAATGCAACAGTAGAATACTAAATTTGGCCTCTGAAGGCAGATGATTATATATTGCCAAGATGTTGTTGATGGTTGTAAGATAGATCCTTGAAGGGTCTTTCTTTGTGGTGGAATGATGACTGTGTTTTGGTAAGAGTAAAAAGATTGATAGATGCTAAGAATGTGTTATTGTACTTGTATCCCATAAAGATATGATGAAATTATGTTTACACTTGTTAAAATTATACCACTAAATATTAAGTTAATGTTTCACTTACCGAACCTCTGCTTATGTTTGTTTTTTCTAGAATTTTCTCTTGAAACAGATGTCAATGACAGGTCAGAAAATTACACTGAGTAGTATGGAGCCATTTTCAGAAATAAAGCCAATAGGAGATCAAGTAGCTGTACAAAGCAATAAGAAAGATGCCATCCCTAACCACATAGATCAAAACTATCATGGTACTTCATCCAATGTGGTGGTAAAGTCAAAATCTTGTACAATACTATAAATACATGTATTCATGGCTGACCAAGCGTGTTCGTAACTTATACTTGAAAAATGTTATAGCTTCTGAAGGAACATTTCTGATAACCGTCTTTTAAAGATATAAGTTAATATTTTTGGTTTTGTTTGAACAGTATGACCAGTTTTGATATTTATTTGTGTTAATATTTTTAACAAGCAATTTTAAAATTTGTGTATCTCAAACTCTTCTTGAAGTGTTGTGGTCTTAACTGTTCAGTGTTGCATAAAACAATATATTTTTGTATGTGAAAATTAAATTAAGATACACCATAGTTTTGCTAAACAGTTTTACTTGTTTATAATTTCATAAAACAATGTTTGAAACCTCTTGACACTGATACATTTTTAATATATTTTCAATTTTTACAACTGAGCCAAAATTGTAATCAACCACATCTGGTTGGTTCTGCTGTCAAAATGGACGACTGTGAACAAAATTTGGAAGTACTTGGAATTATCCATTGATCAAATAGGGACAAAAAAAACCCTAATTTTAAAATATCAAAGGACATAATACCTTTCCCCTGTGTTAAAAAAGAATACAAATGCAATATATAAACAGTATGTTTTTGTGGGGAAACTGTTGAAATTTCTTTCCAGTCTTTTGTTTAGAGAAGTGATTAGGCATGAAAATACTATGTAGCGTGATCAGTATTTTTGGCCCTGTTGCAGATTGCCACCATAAGCGACCCAAACAAAGCCAGGCTTGCTCATTTCAACTATTTCTATCATTAACAGTGGTAACCAAGTCAGTCTCCATCTCATGGGGCACTATTCCTGTCCTTCCTACTCTCTTCCTCCAAGAATAGGAAGGATAAAGCTGTTAAGTTTACTCTGCTAAGTAGGAACACGTCTTTCTACTTAAATAAGCTGCTACTTATTTAATGGGGCAACCCACCTTCATTGTCCTCATTTTTAGCTTGTTAATAAAACATTTTCTTCTTCTATTACTGTAACCCTTGCCCTGTTTAAACAAAACAAAATTACATCTCTGTGCTTTATGTACAAAGGTTGTAATGTTAGTCCAGGGCAAATGTGATTTTTGAAATCTTACAAAGTAATCTTCTGTGTGAATTATATTTAGTAGATTTCTAATTGTACTAAAAGCAAAGGCAATTTCATAACCTTGGCTATTTCTCTATGGCAACTATAGTATTAGTAGAATGTTGTAAAAATTCTTTACCAATATGTAAACTATAGGAGCCAAGTGGCGGTAAAGCTTGCAGATGGTATTAATATGTGTCATTTAGGGTAGGCAGAACTCTGAGATAGCTTCCAGGTTCCCGGAACCTGTTGATGACACATGCCCTGAATAATCTCTTTTCTCTAAATATAGATGGGACCAGTGAGTATGATGAAATGTTATTCCCTTGCTCCAGTTCCATTGTATGACAAAGGTGGGAGATGTTTCAGATGTAGTTAAAAGTCTTAGTCAGTTTAGGTTAAACTTTAAAGAAGAGCAAATCCTAGATAACTCTAACCCAATCAGGTGAATCCCTTCAAAGATATTTTAGGAAATCCAACATAAAAGAGATCCAAACTACTCAAAGCAGCAGAAATGCGGTCTTGTTGGGCTGAAAAAAACTCCATCATAATTGTAGATAGTGCCGTGTACCATGAAATGGGTAGAGCAGCCTTGAGAATCTGAGGGCCTCAATCTGGCAAATTTGAGGTAGCGAATTCTGCCAGCAACTAGTGAGCCTGGAAGAGGAATGTAATCCTCAAATAAAACCATATTTTTTACTTTGACACCTTGATCGCAACCTTATGTGACTCTGTACTGAAGACCCAGTTGAGCACTTCACAGACTTCCTGACCCATGAAAACTATGAAATAATAAATACATGTAGTTTTAACCCACCAAATGTTTGGTAATTTGTTACACAGCATTAAAAACTAATGTTATACTGTTATACTATGGGGTAGGACTTATCTACATGGTGGCTTCCTTCATCAAAGCATCTAATCGCTTTTTGGTCATCAAATGTCATTCTCTTAAAGCCAAGGATCGCATTTTTATATACTCACAAAATATTCATACATCCTCCACCATACAAATCCTCAATGAATAATTGATAGAAATATATGTTACACCTTTATCTGTTTGGTTTTTCTAATCTATAGCACTTAAGAAGTATAATTGGGCTTCTTCAAACTTCTGTTAACAATGACTTCCTTATTTAACATATGATAGAGGGGTGGCAATTTAGCTCAGCAGAATAAGCGCCTGTGTGGCAAGCGCAAGGTTGTGAGTTTGATCCCTGGTACCAAAAAAAAAAAAAAAAAACCTGTAATAGAACCATCATACCTAATGAAAAAATAGCAGTATAGCCTATAAATGCATGTCAAAATATTCAAGACAAAATGTAGTTGTAAAGACCCTCCTTTGTATAAATATGAACATGTATAGTTCTGGAAAGCTGTTGTATTAGTTTCTCAGTGCTGCTTTAACAAAATACTGCAAACTGGTCGTCTCAGTTCTGGTTACCAGAAATCTAAAATCAAGGTGTTGGCAAGGCTGTCCTCCCTCTAAATACACCAGGTAAGAATCCATTCTAAGCCTCTCTCCTAACTTCTGAGTCTTAAGTATTTCTTGACTGGTAGCTGCATCAGTTGAAACCTTTGTCATTCTCCCTGTTTTTCCATATTGTTTTCTGTGTGTATCTCTTTGTTCAAATTTCCCCTTCTTATAGTCTGGTCACCTCATTCTAACTTGATTATCTCTGTAAAGGCCTTGTTTCCAAATAAGATAACTTCTTAAATCACTGTGAGCTAGGACTTCAGCAAATCTTTTTTGAGAGAACACAATTCAACCCATAACAATGTATAACAGTTTAAGAGCTGCAGATCATATAAAACATCATTTATTTAAAGTACCTAGTCTCTTAAATTGTTGCTATTATTGTCCCAAAATGTATAAAGACTTGATAAATTCTGGATCTTCAATGAGAGGTCTGTGATGTGATGAGGTATGTGATGTTGAAACGTTCATTGATTGTTTCACTAGTTACATTTTCAGTCAAAGCGGGAATTTTAAGTGGGGTCATACTCTGGGATCCCAGGTACAGGGAGCAATTACTAAATGAGTACTATCATTTAAAGTTGTAGAGTATGGATGAGAACTTATTTCTTAGAAATTCATACACATGTTCTTCAAGGTTAAACTCTTTCGAGTATTTACCATATAGTTCATTGCAGTACTACTCTATTGTTCATTTGTTATAAATCTGTAGGGGGAAAACAAATCTTTCCATGAGCAAAAGAAAGTCTGTCTTTCAGCAGAAGCAATGAACTCATTAGAAGCATCCAAGTCAGAGAAATTTGGCCAGCTAGTTTTATAATTACCAGGCTTGGCAACACAAAAACTCCAGTTCTTTGTCTACAGGAGGCTCAAATATCAATAGAATTAGAGAAGAAATTCAGAATAATTATTTTGGGACAGAGCTAGGCTTTGCATTATTATTATTAATTTCAATTAAGAGTTTTTCTACCCAATTTGATTTTGTCTATCCAAATTGGAAATGTTTTCATACTAAAAATGTCCTCTTGCTATGGTTTAAATATTTAGGGATAGGAATTCTTTAAAATATTTAAAGCATGTTTTTAGACAGAACTTTAAGATGTACTTTACTTTTTTCAAGTGGAAGAATAAGAAATCAGTAAATAAAAAAGACAAATCAGAAGACTGAAAAATCTTCAACTCAGGAATGAAGGGAATGTACTTTTGAACACAAAATACATTTAAACCAGGTGTCACATTTTTTGAGCCTAGGCAGATAATCATATTGGAGTGGCTGCTTCTTCATTCTAGCTGGTAATGGCTGTTTCCCAGAACTGAACTCAAATTGCCAGATCCTCAGCAGTTTTAAAAGGAAGCTAGAAATATGTTTTTCTTTTTGTTTTTAGTATAGATAACTCATTGACGCGCACACGCGTGTGTGTGTGTGTGTTTTTGTACACATACACATATGTGAACTTAGGGGCTAAAGCATAACAGCAGGCCAAGTTTAGCCAGCCATGCTATGACTTCTATTTTAAACAAAGTGCTTTATTTTGGCAAGAAAAATCAGTATACAAGGAAAACACGTTGAAACAATTAGGCCCTGGATTTATCTTGGTTATTTTTCCCTAATTTAATCTCAGAGTTTAAGCAGGAGCATTAAAGAATTAACTACAAAAGTGATTGTTCTACTAAGGTAATTTACATTTTTGTTACATATAAATGTCTACCAAGCTTTCTTGGGAGTGTGGGCAGTTGGGAAAATACAGAGCTATTTCTGCAAGAAGAAGAACTACAGTAAAGTTTGCCAGGCTTTTGATAAGCAGTCCCTTTAACAGCTGCAACCAATGACTATTTCAGCAATGTTACTGTACAATACTAATTACAGAAAACTTTAGGCAACATTAGCCTACCCTACACTTATTTACTGAAAATAAGAAGAGAAATAGGCAAACTGCATTCTCAAATATAATTATGTTTAATTTCATGTTACAAATAACATTTTCATAAAGCTATTTGGCATTGTATTAATAACGCATTATTATAATTGTTTTATTCACCACAATAAAGATTCCAAAACCTATATAAAAGTTTAAACCAATCTGAGAACACTTTAAGTTTCATATGAATCTGTACATTGATTTTCTCAGTAATTACTAGAAAGTTTTTAGAAATCAAAGCTAGAAATTTTCCTCTAAATGTGAAATTCATTTATTAAAATTAAGTTGTGGTTGAAAACTTTTATTAGAAACTATTTAAAATATGCAGAAAAATAAGATTAATATAATACCTATCTACCCATCATATAGATTTATTATTCATACTTTGTTGTTTGCTTTCTATTTTAGCTAGACGTCCTGCACCTCCTAAATACATAAGGATGCACTACTAAAAATGACATTCTGTATATTTTTGTATGTAACCTCTATGTTAGAACCTTGCCTAACAAAAATAGTAATAGTTTTCCAATAACTACTGCCCAATCTCATATTCAAGTTTCTTTTTTTTTTTTCCTCAAAATATCTTGTACAAGCTAGTTCACTGGTAAGTGCGAATCAGTGAAAATCAGTGTGTTGCATGCGGTTGTTATTTCTCTTAAGTCTCTGTTCATCTGGAAGACTTCCCTCCCCATGTTTTTCCATGACATTGACATTTTAGAAACTGAGACAATTTTAAAGTATAACTGTATGCATTTAAAAGTACGCCTTTAGTGTTCTGGTAGTTCTTAATGATATCTCAGATCACCTTACACTGGGAATAAACACAAAAATTGGACCAAAGTATATAAGTTTAAAAAAAGAAACACTTGAAAGTATTAGAGTTGCTACCAAGACAGTAAAGAGTTAGGAGACCAAAATCAGAGAAAGAACCCAAGTAGATGTTCTTGCCATATGGAGCAGCTTTTCAACAAGAGATAAGAGCAACTAATATTTTAATATTTTAAGGAATTAATACATGAGTGAGAATTGTATTAGAAAATGGTAACTATAAAAAGCCAAATTTAAATTCTGCACTTAAACATAAGCAAAAATAATTAAGACATTCATGTATAGATTTTCTAACAGATTAATAGAAAGACCTAGTAAACTGAAAGATAACCCAGAAGAAAATATTCAAACTGTAGCACAAAGAGACAAAATGATGCAAAGTACAGAGAAGACATCTTGAGTACAATGACAAAGTCAAATATATATGTGGTTAGAATCCTAAAAGGAGAAGAGTGAATTCAACAGAGGTAATATATGAAGAAATAATTTTCCAGAACTTTTCAAAACAAAAATGTTATGGTTCATGTGTTGGAACCTTAACTCATCAGTACAGTTTTGCTGAGAAATTGGAACCAATAGGAGGTTACAGTACTTAAAGTCACAAAAGCAGAGCCCTCAGAATAGATCAATGCTTTTCTTAGATAAATTTTCATTTTTGCAGGAGTGGATTAGTTACTGTGAGAGCTGGTTGCTACAAAGCAAGCCTGCCTCTTTTTCATGTGTTCCTGCTTCTTCCACTTTTTCCCAACATAGTATGGTGTAGCCCATGCTTCTTATCATACATGGCCACCCTATCTTGGACTTTCCAGCCTGTAGAGCCATAAGCCAAGATAAATGTCTTTTCTTTATAAAACAATCTCTGGTATTCTGGTACAGCAAAAGAAAAATGGACTAAGACAAAAAGGTATCAGGCCAAAGATTCAAGAAGCACTATAAATCAGTCATGGTAGCATACCTCTGTAAGCACTCTGAGAGGCTGAGGCAGGAGGATTTTAAGTCTGAGTCCTGCCTGGGCAATTTGTTGTATTTTTAAATTTTTGTTAGTACATGTTTGCCATACATAATGACAACATTTATCGTGAGGAGTTGGTACATGTACATAACCCATCTTAATTCTTTTTATGTCCCCTTCCTTCTCTTTCCCACATCCCATCTCTTGGTCCCTTTCTAATTGCAGAAGACCTGTCTCCATGTTAAACTTGAACAATTTAGCGACTTTAAGTGAGACCCTGTTTCAAAATTTAAAAAAAAGAGCTAGGATGTGGCTCAATGTGAAGGCCTTGGTTTCAATACCTAGTACCACAAAACACACACATGTATGTGTGCACACATACAATTTCTTTCATTGAGCATGCTTTTAAGATTCATTTAAATTATTGTTAGTATTTGTCATTAGCAAGTTTACACTAAACTTACACTAGATGTTTCTGTTTCTCCCAAATAGTAGTTCTCAGATGAAAGGAATTCCCGTGCTCCTCTTTACCCTGTGAGACATTTGGCAATATCTAGAGTCATTTTTGGTTTTTATAATTTAGGGGAAAAGGGAAGAAGAATGCTACTGGAATCTAGTGGGTTAAGTAAAGGCTAAAGGTACTGCTAAACACTACAATATGTAGGACAGTCCCCAGGGGAGGCACGAAGGCAACAGTACAACAGAACACCACGTGGCATGCCAGAAACAGAGGGCCACTTACAGACCCCACGGGGAGGAGAGGAGCATGCCAACAGGAAACGAGAAGGAGAATCTGAGATACATGTACTCAACCCAGACATAATGTGGATGTGACAGAGAGAGATGGGAGATCTGCAGCCCAGAGCCTTTATTGGGGTTCAGGACATTACATGAGCAGTGTTCCCTCAAATAGGAAGTTCTGTTTTAAGGCTTTAGGACAAGCAGACACAAGTTGCATGGAGTCACTCTGTGACCGAGAGGTGGTCACTGACATATCAGCACTTTTCATGTGGGTGTGAGGGTCTACAAGGTAAGTCAAGCAGGCTGCATCCAGCTGCCTCATATGGAGGTGATCACTAGGAGGCTTTGTGTAAGGTAGATATTTGGGATTGCCCAACTTGAGGAACTCGGAGGCATTGGAACAGGGAGAAAATTGAACCTTATATGTGATATGAGAATAAGTTATATTCAAAATGGGTATTGAGGCTATGAAAAATTACAATTTACTACCTATGCAGTCCAGGAATACTGAAGACATTTTAAAGGAGCTTAGGTGAATCCCAAATTCCCTTTTACCCATATAAGTATGCTCTAAATTCAAACAGGAATACACAACTTGCCAGGACTCTGACCCTGACCCTTCTCTCAAATCTGCATGTAACCTCCAAGAACCCAAGACTTGGTATTTCTCTATCTTCAAGGTCTAGTGTCTAGCTATAACTTTTCTTTAAATCTTTTGGGCTTTGAAAGTCTTCAGTTGTTGCTTCTGATCACAAGGACCTGACATTGTTTCCCTTGTACACAAGTGAATAATTTTGTTGCGTAGGTTGTGCAAACTCATTTTTCTCCAAAGTATTTGGTGAATATCCAAACAAATGTGGTTCCTCCATTCCTACCTCCCACATTGATATTAGTGTAGTCTTGAGGAAAAATCACACTTACTACGTATTCATTATTAAGATAAACTTGAATCACTTGTAGGAAAGTGGATGTACCTTGACACCATAAAGTTAAGTGAAATAAATCACACAGACAAGCTTAACTATTGCATGGCTTCTCTTATATCAGAGACCTAAATTATAAATAAAGAGCAAATAAAAGATAACAGAAAATAGGGTGATATTTCTCAAATGGGAAGGGGATCAAGAGATGAAGGGAAAAGAGGGAAATGGGGAAAGGGCATAAAAAAGGGAATTAATGTGTTACATACATGTACCAACAGCAAACAAACATGTACTTCAAATGTGCTAATAAAAATACAGAAAAATATCAATCCCTAACCATACCATGTATACCATATATGTCTTAGTACATACAATAAATGGGATTGAATTAGTACGACAGGTATCACAGAGATAAGATACTCCAAGAAAAAACATGCATAAAATATCCTTTATTTCATTCTTGTGTCACCACTTAAGTGATAGCAAAATGATTCTCTGTGTAGTGTTGGTGAAAGAGACATTTGTAGTTGTTATGCGAGGGAAGGGAAAAGAGAAGAAAACAAAATATTGGAAATTATTTTTGACATTCTGAGACAGGAATTTATCCACATTTTGTTACATAGGCCTAAGTATCAAACAAAGAGAAGACTCAACATATTATCTCTGCTCATTCTGTCTTTGATAGACTATATTTGCACTGATTTGAAAGTAAGTTTCATATCTCTGTTCCAGGTAGGGAAGAGAATGTGAAAAGAAAGCAAACGCCCATCCATCAACTGAATCAGCTCCTTTATGTAACTTTCTCAAAAGTTGTGTAACAAGAGGGTTTACCAAACCCTCTTGTCCAGAACTTGAATTCATTTCTCCAAGGGAAATCCTATAATGCAATCATTTATTTGTAGAAGCAATGGGCTTAGCTAAATATCAGAGATTGTTTTGTTTTGTTTTGTTTGTGGTGCTGGGGATCAAACTCCTGACTTCATGGGTACTACTGCTGAGTTATATACTCCCACTCCTTTAGGGTTCTATTATTATATAGAAATCTTACTCACATTCACCCTTTAGTTTAAAAGATCCGTATTTATGTTGAACACTGTAGCTGAGGCAGGGAGGATAACATTTTTCCTTATGGTTCCTACTAGAGACAAGCAGTTGATTGAACATTTTGGTGAACCATCATGTGGGATCCATGATCATCAGGTGCTACAGGAAACCTCAGCTCACTACTCTAGAGAAATTGGAAAGAACCCAAATGTGAAACTCAGTAGATACAGCTCTGTATTTGTTTCATGTGTCATATATGTTACTGAAGACTTCTCTCGTTTTTGATGAGAGAAGTTGGAAAGTCATTACTATACCTGGTTACAAAAAGGAGAGAATTTTATTATAAACTTACTTAATCAGTTAGGTCTCACCCAATCATGGCTGCACAGACCTACCCCTAAAAAAAGTAATGACTCTTTCCAAGTAATAGAAGAGAGTCAACCAAATACATACCTATGAAAATGTTTTACATAAAAACTAATTTAAAACAACTTCATGCACATGCATGCACACATGCAGACAGAAGCACACAGGCACATTGGTACAGATAATCTGATGAAAATTATCCCTGTATCCAGAATTGAGTCTGGTAAACTGCAATTATCATTGCTTGAAAACCTTGGCTTTATTTACCCAACAAGAAGCAAGATGCCTTCACTGAACACACAGGGTTGATTTTCAGTGTGCTGATTGTTTTGTTTTTAAGGTACAGTTTTATTTTCTCCCTGGTTATTATTATTCACAGATGTGATTGTAACATTTTGCTAAGTCATAAATCCATCATTAATGACATATAAATACATAAAAGGTGAATGACATTTATAAAAGTGGGTGTATGTCACATACAAATATAGAGGGGAGCAGTGCGATGGTTGCTAGATACGTGCAGTGTCTGTACAAGCTTTCCCCTTCCCCTGCCATCAACCCAAGAAAACGTAAGACTAGTCTGTGAAACCAGCCTCAGTGCCTTGGACAAATGGAAACCTGACATGGACAATCTCGTGCCCCTGGGATCTGTCAGGATGCAGCCATTGAGAGCGGTAATGACTCACCCTCCATCTGGGCCCCTATCCATGGAACAAGTTTCATTAGTATCATACCAACTGAAGCTGAGTTTTGGCTGGCAAAGCTGAGTCAAAAATTTTCATGAATAGGCTACTTCTTGGGAACTAGAAAAGTTCTCTGACCCAGTGCCACTCTTGTAGGATGCAAAATTTACCATGGATCTTATCGAGTACAGGTGGCACTCCAGGCAAAGGTGTCCACTATGACTCGATAAATAAGAAATGTTGTGAAATGGCCCTCCACCCGCAGCATGCCCAGTACTGACCTCATCTGTTCCCCCACCCATGTCCCATAGCTTTTCTACTTTATCCTTGCCATTTTTATTGTGGGGCTATTACTCCAAATGACATTGCTATCAAAACCATGAGAGCTGGTAGCCTGAGCTAAAAGTACAGACACCTCCCCTTATCCATACTCTATCTCCATGTGAGTAGAGAGCTTTTTGTTTTCTGAATAAAATATTATATTAACAGAAAAAGTGATAATTCATTTTGATGAGGTGACTCGGATACTTTTATTTTTTATTTTAAAGAGAAAAGTTAAAAAAATAGTTTCAAAACAGGATAAGAAATCAACAATGGTTAATATATTGTGTATTACTGTCTTCAAAGCAGTTGCTCAGATTTCAAGATACAGGCATGCAAAATTAATCAACTAATAAAATCACCTCCCGATCCCTTCAATGAACTACAAGAAATTAGTAGTAAAATTATGTTAACTGTTTTGTATACATATATTTACTTTTTCCTTTCCTTAATTTCTCCTTTCTCTTATCCCGGTTCTTTCCTTGTGAGAAGTTTCTTTCCCTTTTTCTATCTTTTGCAGGTTTTATATCTTACTCTTTTAGTTTCTTGCACTAGGGAGACAAGATGATGCTTATACATGTGCATTTGATTTATTTCACTTATTAGTATGGTTTCTTGTTTCATCTACTTATCTATAAAAGCCTTGAGTTTATCATTCTTTATAGCTTATTATTATTCCATTTATAAAAATACCACATAGTTTTATACATTCCTCGTTTGATGGGCATTTGGATTGTTTTCAAGTTTTCACTGTTACAAATTGTGCTGCTATAATCAAGAATACACATTGTTGTGATATGATGTTTTTAATTCTTCTGGGAAAATACCCAGAAGGGAAATAGCTGAATGAAATGGGACCTCTAATCCTAGTTTTCTGAGGAATCTCCACACTGATTTCCACAATGATTGTACAGTCTACATTTCCACCAATGGTTGAGAAGGGTTTCTTTTTCCCTACAGTCCCTGAAGCATGTTATTGGTTGATTTCTTGATATTTGTCATTCTTTCTGGAATAAGATGGAATCTCCCTGTTTTAATTTGCATTTCTCGAATGATCAAATATGTTGAATGTTTTTTCATGTATTTATTTGCCATTTGTATTTCTTTATCTAAGAAGTAATACCAATTACAGAGGCTCACTTTCAGAATGGGTCTTTAAATTTGGGGGGGGGTCTGATTTTTGTCAATTCTTTGTATGGTCTAGATAGATGTTCTTTATCTGAGGGACCATTGGCTAAAGTTTTTTCCAAATTTGTGGATTTTCCTTTCACTATGTTGGTGATTTCTTTTGAAGTGAAAAAACTTTTTAAAATTATGCAATCCCAGTTGTTGTTTCTTCAAAGTATTTCTTGTGAAGTTTGGTTTTTGTTCATGAACTTTCTGCCCACCCTTATGTCTTCAAGATTTCTACCTACTTTGCCTTCCATTAGATTTAGTGTTTTTTGTTTTAATATTTAGATCTTTGATCCATTTTGACTTTATTTTAGTACATTATGGTAGATATGGATCTAGTTTAATCTTCAGTGTGCAGAAAGCCAACTTTTCCAGCACCATTTACTAAAGAGACTATCTTTCTTTCCAGTGAATATATTTGGCTCCTTTGTCAAAGATAAGGTGGCTGAGTGTTTTCAGTTGTGTCTGCATCTTCTACTTTGTTCTACTGATCCTCAGGTCTGGTTAGTTAGTTAGTTTGTTTGTTTTGTTGTATTTTTGGCCAGTACCATGCTAATTTTATCACAGTAGCTTTGTAGCATAATTTCAAGTTAGGGATTGCAATGCCTCCTACTTTGTCTTTGTTGCCCAGGATTGCCTTTGCTAGTCTAGGTCTCTTCTGTTTCTAAATGCATTTTAGGAATGTTTTATTTAGATCTATGATGTATGCTAATGATAGTTTGATTGGCATTGCATTAAATCAATATCAGATACTTTTAAATGGGAAGTATTTAGCAAGAGAGACTGCAGACTTTGTTTTGTCCATTCTGGATACACAATCTTTCTTAAAATCATCAGTCAGAGGCCTATATTCTGGTTATCTAGCTACCAATAACTCATGAAGGAAGTGTTTTACTCAGAATTTCATTAAGACCACCTAGAAATTCAATGAGAATTATAAATGTATATATTACATTTTAAAATTAAGGCATGATTAAATAAATAATTGTAATAATAATAAGCATGCATGTTCTGCACATAATTCTATAAGTGTTTTCTGTTTATTAACTCATTGAATCTTTACCACTTTATGAGAAATGTTTCTTATTCCCACTTTTATATGTACAAATGAGTCACAGAGAAGACAAGTAACTTATGTAAGTGTCCATAGCTTATGAGTGGATTTCTGATTTCAAAAAAACTGTCTTCTTAAACACTGCATTCCAAATTGTGTAGAGCACAGGATTTTATTTCCTTCATTATTCTCCTTTTTTTTCTCTTTATGAAGAATTGATGAATATCCTTACCTCATTTTGATGTTTTCTTGATTTACTTGATTTTCCTAAATTTCTTTTGATAAATCTACTTCTGAGTGTCATCTTGCCATCTTTGTTGGGGTTTTTATTCAGTTAGGTGACATGTGGTGGCTTGATATGTTAACTTAGCTAATCTGAAACTTCATTTCACAGAATTTCCTACTGTTATGGTTTGTGTCTAGATGTCCTCCAAGTCTCATGTGCACATTAGTGAGACTTTTGGAGATGGTTGGATCTAAAGTATGTGAATGTGCATTAAGGTTGTGTCAGTATAAATTAAAGGTGTGATAACTAAGGTAGTATGCTATTTGGCTGATTGTTTAATGAAACACCACCCCTGCCCCTGCCACTGGTATGTGTTGCTGCACCCAAAAGTCTTGTAGTCTGGATGGGATAAAAGGAAATGGGAGGCTTGCTGTTGCTGCTGTTGCCACTGTACTGCTGCCTGCTGCTTTACTGCCTCTTGTCTATTCTCTTACGGACTGTTTCTCCCCTGCCATGGCCCTCTGCCATGACACTCTGCCTTGGGACCATCTGATTATGGATATAAACATCTGCAAACTCTGAACTAAAACACTTAAATGGATAGGATGACCCATTCTGTAGATAACCATCAACCTCTTTCTTCACCCTCCCACCTCCTGCCATGTCATTGCCTAATGAACTCATGAGAAGAGTGCCCATGGTGACAGGGATGGAGGTTATGCATGGACTCATCATCATAGACACCTACTCATCAAGGCTGATCTGGCTGTAGCCACTGCTAAATGCCCAGTATGGCAGCAGCAGAGACCAACAGAGAGTCCTCAATTTGGCACCATTCCCTGGGCTGATCAGACTGTGACCTGAGAGCAGGTTGATTATGTTCTACTGCATCCATCATAGAAAGGGTAGTACTTTGCACTTACTGGCATGGACACTTATTCTGCATATGGATTTGCCTTCCATGCACATAAAATTACTGCCAGAACTACCATCCATCAACTTACAGAAAACCTTTTCCATCATCATGGAATTCCACACAGTGTTGCATCTAACTAAGAAACAAAGCAATGGGCTCATGATTCATGGAATTTACTAGTATCACCATTTTCCTTACCGTCCTGAGTAGTTGGATTGATAGAAGGATGGGATTGGCTTCAGAAGATATAATAACAAAGCCAGCCTAAGTGTCAATAGCTTTCAGGGCTTGGGCAAGTTTCTTCTAAATGCTACATATGCTTTGAATCAGAGTCCACTATAATGTACTGTGTTTCCCGTAAACAGAAATCATGGGTCCAGGAATCAAGGGATGGAATGGAAAAAGTACCACTGACCATTACCCTTAGTGATCCACTAGTAAATTTTTTGCTTCCTGTTCTCACATTATGCTTTTCTGGCCTAGAAGTCTTAGTACCAGAGTGGGGAAGGCTTGTATCAGGCAACACAATAATGATTCTGTTGAACTAGAAACTAAGATTTTCCCCTAATATTATAATTTTGGTCTCTTCATGCTTCTAAGTAGACAAACTAGAAAGGGAGTTACAGTGTTGGCAAGGGGACTGACCCAGACTATCAAAGGGAAATTGGACTTTTGCTCCCCAATGGAGTAAAGGAAGATTGCAGAAGGCTCCATAAGGTGCCTCCTAATATTACCATGCACTGTTATCACTGTCATTGATAAACTACAACAACCCAATCCAGGCAGGATGGAAAATGGTCCAGAACCTTCAGGAATGAATGTTTGGGTAACCCCACCAGTATGTTGAGGTGCTTACTGAAGACTAAGGGAATAGGAAATAGTAGAAGAAGGTAGTTCTAAACACCAACTGCAACCCCATGATCAGTTAAAAAAATGAGGATTATAGTTGCAATTGTTCTCTCCTGATATGCTTCCTATGTAATATAATGTTGATAGGCTTAATATTGGAGCAAGCATCACCCAAAAGAAACTTGCCTTCTGTTCTGGGGAGAAAACTTATTATGTTTCTGTTTGTAAGCAGGATAGTTATAAAGGATTGGGTGTAACTATCAGCTTGTCTTTGCATTTGAAGACAAAATGTAGTTTAAGGAAATATGTCTGCCATGTTAACAGGGAGTAGATTGAGATAGTTAACCAATTGTGTCAACTTGAGTAACAAATGCCAAACTAAATTGGATCAGCATAGTTCTGAGTTTGGCTGAAGGGGTGTTGGGAGCCACCACATTGCCGAGCCGCCGCATATAGCGATCATGCGGCCTGTGGTAAAGAGTAAAGCCTGAGTTAGATTACCCCTCCCATCGAGCACGTTAGTTTCCTGCTTACCGCGTAAACAACCCGCTCAATAATATGTTAGCCAATCAGCTTGCCTTGCTTACTTTAATATGATTGGACACTGTATCCGTATATATACTGGTGCCACCCCTGGGGGGAAGTAGAAGCCCGGAAGGAGCCGCGGAGAGCGGACTGGTAGAGGCTTCGGAGCGAAGCACGGAAGGAGCCGCGGGGAGCGGACCAGAGGAGGCTTCGGCTGGGAGCGATCCCAGGGCAGGCTGTATGGAGAGAAAATAAAATTAAAAGTTGTCCACTGCCAGACTTTGTCGTGTGTCCTTCCTGCCGGCCGGGAGCGACATCGACATTTGGTGGCCCGTACGGGGAACAACTGATCACCCCAGAGACGTGGTAGTGGACAACGTTCCTTGATACAGCACTGCGAGACAGGTGAGTAGGGGATAAACCTGGGCCCTGGGTGGCGCGCACCTACAGGGTTTTTAGACTCCCCTCAGGCTCACGCGTAAGTGGCGGATTTTTGGGCCTCACGCGGTGAGTAACATATTAAATATGGGTAACGTACCGAGTAACGACACCCAGCCCTTGGTACAGGTCCTCCGGAAGCTCTTAAAGTCCAGAGACCTCAAGGTGGGACGCAAAACGCTGGAGAGCTTTTTTGAGGAGATTGATAGTTTCGCTCCCTGGTTCTTGCCCACAGGGCACTTAAACCTGCCCTCGTGGGAGAAGTTGGGCAGGGATCTTTCTCTAGCGGAAAGGGAGGGCGGGGCTTCGGTCTTCGCTCGGCCACTGTGGGAAATGATATATGCATGCTTGAAGAGCGAGGGTGGTTGCAGGGAAGGTTCTCAAGAGCTCATTAAAGTGCGTAGGGCATTCGAACAGGCCCAGTCAGGGAGCTCCCGGGAGGGGTCCGTCAAAGGAGACAAAGATATAAAGGAGGAAGACGGGGCTCAGGCCTCGGAGTCGTCTGACTCCGAGAACGAGAAAGGCTTAGACAACGATGAGACCAAGGAGCCTAGATGCCAAGAGGATAGGCCGCTCGATAAGGAGTCGCAGGGTTCTTTCTCAGCGTTGCGCCGCGAATTGCGCTCCGCTCAACTTGGTCTGCGGAGGAGTAGAGAGCTCCTGAGCGCCCCCTGGCGCGAGAGGGAGGCGAAGCCTTCCGCCCCACCTTGGGGGCTGTTCCCGGAAGCGATCCCTCGCCACGAGGCGGCCGCGTGGGAGCTCCATCCCCTTTCGCCAGAACAGGAAGTGATGCACGGGCCCCCATTTTCCGCCCAATCACGGCCGCCGTCTTATGCTCCGCCGCCGGCGGGTCGGTATTTTTACAGGCGGCTTTGGCAGGGGGGACGTTTGTCTCATGAGGTACATCCACCACCTGGGATAGATAGTGGCCCCTACGGGATATTTCCTGTACAAGTAGCTATGGGCCAGGGACGTAATGCATGGGAGCCTTTTGAGATAAAGCAGATTAGAGAACTTAAAAATGCAGTTACAACCTTTGGGCCGACTGCGCCTTACACCATTGCCATGCTGGAGAACCTGTCTTCTGGGCCCCTCACCCCCGCGGACTGGATTCAGCTGGCAAAGGCGTGTCTGCCCTCGGGTAGTTACCTAGATTGGCGAGCCTGGTACACAGAGTTCTCTGCCGAGCAGGCTGAAAAAAACGCCGGTCGAGGAAATGGGGGCTGGGGATTTAGCTTAGCGGCATAAGCGCCTGCCTTGTAAGCAGGCAATCGCCAGTTCGATCCCTGGTACCAATAAAAAAAAAAAAAAAAAAAAAAAAAAAAAACAAAAAAGATAAAAATAAAAAATAAAAAACAAAAAGGGGGAGTAAGCCAAGGCCTGGCCCCAAAGGCACGATTATCCATGGCACTATTCACACACAATTTTTTAAATTTAAATAATGATAATTGCTCCCCAGCTGTGGAGCACTGCAACCCTTCCCCCAACCATAAAGGGTGGGTGAAGTGGAAAGATGTCCTGACAGGACAATGGATGGGCCCGGATCCAGTGGTCAGCTGGAACCGAGGTGCGGTTTGTGTCTTCCCACAGGAACCGGGACGAGAACCACTGTGGGTACCGGAGAGACTGACACGGGCGACAAAGCCCTCGACTAAAGATCAGACCTGCCCTACCGGAGATCCATCACAGACCAACCAACAAGATGAATAGAAATAGCGGTAGCCCAAAATAGAGAAGAAGATCCTCAGGCATATGCATGGCTCGCTCGCCTAGCCTACGACCGAGTCTAGGGACGGTGAGCTTCCCACACTCCTCCTCAAAAAAATTATGATATAGCAGGGTAGATGAGTCAATGACGGGTAAGAGCATGCCTCCCCAGCATGACTCAACCTAAGACAGGCCCTACCCCATACCGCACGAAAGCCGCTGAATTACTAGGTTTCGCCCAAACCAAATGTCGCCCCGGGGGGATCATGCGGAGCGACATGAGTGTATGCCTGTGTGCATCCAGGTTCCGTCCGGTTCCTTCCTGGCCCTGGAAAAAGGACGAGGGCCTCGGGGCCTCGGCAGACTCGGGGACGGCCGACCCGGGCCGACGCCGAGAGCCCTTGGTGGGCTTCCTATCAGGGCACAGGCCTCTACACTCAATTCAGGATGGGCTGCGATGCGTAGACTTATTTAAAATAAAAAAGGGGGAGATGTTGGGAGCCACCACATTGCCGAGCCGCCGCATATAGCGATCATGCGGCCTGTGGTAAAGAGTAAAGCCTGAGTTAGATTACCCCTCCCATCGAGCACGTTAGTTTCCTGCTTACCGCGTAAACAACCCGCTCAATAATATGTTAGCCAATCAGCTTGCCTTGCTTACTTTAATATGATTGGACACTGTATCCGTATATATACTGGTGCCACCCCTGGGGGGAAGTAGAAGCCCGGAAGGAGCCGCGGAGAGTGGACCGGTAGAGGCTTCGGAGCGAAGCACGGAAGGAGCCGCGGGGAGCGGACCAGAGGAGGCTTCGGCTGGGAGCGATCCCAGGGCAGGCTGTACGGAGAGAAAATAAAAGAAAAGGTTGTCCACTGCCAGACTTTGTCGTGTGTCCTTCCTGCCGGCCGGGAGCGACATCCACATTTGGACATCACACATATACAGGAGTTTGGGACTCTTAAATATGTTCATGTTTCCACAGACACCTGTTCTCACGTCATATTTGCAACAGCAGAAACAGGTGAAAAAGTGTCTAATGTGATCAATCATTGCCTGGCGGCTTGGGCCGCATGGGGCAAACCAAAAATATTAAAGACTGATAATGGACCAGCCTATATAGGCAAAGCCTTCAATGAGTTCTGCAAAATGATGGAGGTTCAATTAAAACATGGTATCCCATACAATCCCCAAGGTCAAGGAATCATCGAAAGAGCCCATAGAAGTCTCAAAGCAATTCTAGCTAAACAAAACCAAATGTCGATGTCGCTCCCGGCCGGCAGGAAGGACACACGACAAAGTCTGGCAGTGGACAACCTTTTCTTTTATTTTCTCTCCGTACAGCCTGCCCTGGGATCGCTCCCAGCCGAAGCCTCCTCTGGTCCGCTCCCCGCGGCTCCTTCCGTGCTTCGCTCCGAAGCCTCTACCGGTCCGCTCTCCGCGGCTCCTTCCGGGCTTCTACTTCCCCCCAGGGGTGGCACCAGTATATATACGGATACAGTGTCCAATCATATTAAAGTAAGCAAGGCAAGCTGATTGGCTAACATATTATTGAGCGGGTTGTTTACGCGGTAAGCAGGAAACTAACGTGCTCGATGGGAGGGGTAATCTAACTCAGGCTTTACTCTTTACCACAGGCCGCATGATCGCTATATGCGGCGGCTCGGCAATGTGGTGGCTCCCAACAAAGGGGTTTATTGAAGACAGTAGTTTGAGTGGAATGGACGGGAAAAGAAGTAGGAAGGCTCACTTCCATTTCTTTGAAGGAGCTCCAGTCTTCACCTTCCTCTTGGACATTGTCTGCTGGCTTCTAGCACAGACTGTTCAGTCTTCCATTGCAGATTCTTCAGCCTTCTGATACGGACTTGCACGGGACAGTACAGTGAGCTCCGGACCTTCAAACTTTAACTGGATCCTTTGAATCTTCAGCATGTAGACAGGTCTTTTTGCACTCTCTCACACTCAACTTTCTGAGTGGCAACTACATTGTAAATCCTTATATATTTATATACCTTGCATTAAATTTGTCTCTGTACTGAGCACTGATTGATATACTTTCCCTATGTGATTCTTTACAGTGGTTGATTGCACGAGAATTTAGAAATTAAAGATGAAATAATGGTTATTATTCTATGAAGGTTAATGTGATGGTTAATATTGATCAGTTTCATAGTTTGAGAAATGCCTAGGAAATTAGTTAAAACAGTTAGTTCTACATCTGTTTGAGAGGGTGTATCTGGAGATGATTGGCATGTGGAGCATCAAACTGATGGGGATGACCTGCTCTTATCTTCGTTTCACCATCTGATAGGGTGGGGCCTAATGGAACAAAATCAGAAGGAGGAAACCATCTAGCACATGCTTGTTAGCTCTTTCTTTCTCTGTTTCTGTGTTACTGTGATGTTAGGTAAGCAGCTTTGTTCCACAAAATTCTGCTTCCATGATGTTCTGCCTCACCACAGGCCCACAGCAGTAGTTAGTACTGCTAACCATGAACTAATACCTCTGAAACTGTAAGCCAAAACAAATCTTTCTTCTTTTTAGTTTCTTTTGTCACGTGTGTTGTCACAACAGTGGGAAGCTGACTAATACAGTGTGAGATGTCAGACAATGCAATATGATGTACATATTGTTGCTGATATACTGGCTAACTCAGTTGATAAGGAACAGCATCCAGGCCCAAGGATTTCTTTGTTACTTTCTGACCTTCAGTTTCTTTGAGTCACATGCATGTGCAGCTCCATGACAAAAGATGCCAATGTCAAGAAGCCATCCAGGTTATTGAAGATAATTTATTTTTGTCATCATCCACCTCATGTCCAACTGTTCTTTCTATTGGCCATGTTCTCTACAGTGACTTTTTTTTTTTATTTAAAGAAAAGGAAACGAAAAAAAAATACATGGAGATAAAAAAAAGGGTAGAAATAATACAAAATTACAGACAAACAAAAGGTAAGAAATTGCCGGTTGATAAGTTACAAATTGTCATCTTCGAAATAGCTGTTCAGGTTATAGAATTAAAGTATTTAGAATGACATTCAAAAAAGTGACCCTACAAACCATTCTGCTCTATGATCGAACAAAAGCTCAGTAATGTGATTATCAGTCCTACACATTTGTTTTACATCTCAAAGAGGGTAAGATTAACCATATCAAAACAGAACAGAACATTTAAAAAAAAAACAATTTAAAGAAATACAGATTTCAAAGCAAGTCCACTGGAGATCTTCATTATCTAACTGTCTCTAGCTTCTTACAAATAGTTGTCCCTATCTTCACCCACTTTATATACTTATTGCAAATTATAGAACTAATCAAATCATTACAGGATGATGAAGTCTTTTTAGGTCCTCAAGTTCCAAATTAGGGAAGACAATAGCAACTACCATCGCATCTCTCATTCTCTTTGTGATAGCCGTCCCCATCTCTGCATATGCTGAAGTTGAACTGAAGAAACCAGTCCAATGTCATTCTAATCAGCAAACAATAGATTGCTAGTATTTATATTATAATGCTACAAAATAAGCCTCGGGTTTCTCAGCGTCTCTTCCTCAGAGTATTTGTTCCTTACATCTTGCATTATATAATCTGTTCCCATAAATAATTTAAGAAAAAAAAAACCCAAGTGTGAATTTCTACCTATATATCTATCCTCTCTGTATTATAGGGAAAACCAAGTCATAGCAAGACAGCAGAACAATTTCCTAGAAAAACATGCAATGGATAAGACATATAAAACTACAATATAAATGATCTTCCGTAGCTACTATGTTTACTCTTGTTATTTTCAATAGATTTGTCCACAACACTGGCTTATTATAGTTAAACATACTATTACCTATTTTTATAAAAACTTAGCTTTGACTGCATTGTAGAATTTGAGAGCTGTTACTGATTCATACCAGTATGGATATCCTTTACATCTTGTCATGCTCAGAGTAGTTTCCTCTACTTTTAGGGTTGATTCTAACAAGCATACCAATTTCAAATAGAATCAGTCAAGGCCAACCAATAGTCTTATGATTCAGATACAATTAAGATCAGTCATAGTAAGACAATGTAAGTAATACAGGATTTCAGCCTAAGTCAATAGGAAAGTAAGGATAGTTACCATGGTATAACCTGCTATTTTTGGTTCTAGAGGTCTGTGTCCTCAAATCTGACATGAGTGGACATACCTGAACAAATTTAATTCAATCTAAATATGGCACTAGGACTACTGTGTCTTTTAAATCATTATACACCATTAGCAATGACCTCTGCTTTTTTTTAAATATAGTTTCAGAGCTGTCTATACTAAAGACTAGCTTACCGTCTCTGCCTCATGTCTGCTACTCCACTTTTCTGCTATAATTTGTCCACCTTATTCCCTCATTCCATTGTCTGCCCCGTTCACTGAGGCCTCTCTGCCACTGTTGCTGGAATCCTGATATCTCTTCCTCTCTTTCTCTGTAATGTCCTTCAGTGCTCTCTGTAGGGTTGGATTGGTGGCCACGAACTCCCACAGTTCCTCCTTGTCTTGAAAGTATCTTATTTCTTCATTAAGTTTTAGAGAGAGTTTTGACGGATATATGAACTTTGGTTGCATATTTTTTTTCCTTCAGGACTTGGAATATTTCTCCCCACTCCCTTCTTGACTTAAGAGTTTGTGTTGATAAGTCTGCTGTTATTTTGATAGATTTCCCGTTATAGGTAACCTGCATCTTTTCTCTGGCTGCTTTTAATATTCTGGTTTTTTTGGTGGATTTCTGGGATCTCAATTATTATATGTCTAGGCGTAGATCTGTTTTGGTTGTAGGTAGCTGGTGTTCTGTATGCTTCTTTTATCTGGATATCATTTCTTTTTGCTATACATGGGAAATTTTGCTTTAATATATCTGTGAATATTTTTTGTATTTCATTTTTGGATGTTCCTGCTTCCTCACTCACATTCTTTATTCTTAGGTTATGTATCTTTTTGTCATCTTCCAGTTTTAGAATTGCTTTTTTCTGGTTCCTTGTTATTTTTAAGAGGCTTTTTCTTTCACGTTCATATGCCCTAAATCTCTCTTCAAGTTTCAGAAGGCTGTCTTTAGTTTCTGTCAAGGCATTTTGCCAATGTTCAATGGGGTTTTTAGTTTCCTGATATTCTCTTTGGATCTGTTTCATGTATTCTAAGTTATGCTTAAATTCTTCTTCAGATGCTTCTCTTTCTTTTCTGATTTCCTCAGTTCTTCCATCTGTGTTCTCTTGGGCGGGGCTTGTCATTTCTTTAATTAATTTCTTTATATCTTGCCTCACTTGGATCAGGAGTACAGCTTTAAATTCCTCTGTGAGATCATGTAGGTACTTTTTAATTTCGGCTTATGCTGTGTTGAGTAGTGGATGGTTGCTGTGCTTGTTCTCTTCAGTGTTTAGTTCTCCTGGGCTTATTTTCTCCTGTTGAGCAGCTGGAGATTTTTTTTTTTAAATTTTTATCTCTTGTCATGTTTCTGGTTTCTTTCAGACTGTCCTGGAGTTCTCTGGCCCTCTCTGAATTGCTTAGGGCCTTTCAGAAGCGTGCTGGCTTGAGTTTTTGCTGTCCTCCCCAATTTACTGTTATCTGGGGTAGGCTGGGATGCAGGGGCTGTACAGTTAGTTCATAAATTAGGCTGTACTTTCTGGTTGTCACTGAGTTGTGACTATTTTGTATCCGCTTATTGGGCCCCAAGCAGAGGCTTGGTTTAGCCCCAGTAGCTCCTGCCAGTTCTCTTTGTACCAGAAGCAGCTGAGTAACGTCACTATGGCACAGGGTTCTGCCCAAATCCCAGCCGTTCTCTTCCAAACCTCTCTGTGACAGGAGCACCAGAATAGCAGATCCGCCCAAAACCAAGATGTCTCCCACTAAGTTCTCTGTGTGGAGCTGAAGCCAGCAAGTAATCAGGCTCTGCCAGGATTCAAGATGTCTTCCACCAGCCCTCCCTACAGGGGGACCTGGTGATGTCACCACGCTGCAGTTTCTGCCGCCAGGCTAAAATGTCTGCACCAGACTCTGTGTTATTGATTTCCCCGTGGTGGCGGGCCAGCTGTTCTCTGGCCAACCCCAGCAGCCGCGGGGTTCCCAGTACTCACCAGAGTCCAGTGCACGTCCTCATTCCGGGACCACCGCACACCAAGCTGCCCACCTTTCCCGCACTCCCAGCACAGCGCGAAACGGTGCACAGCGTGGGCTCCCGGCACAGCGCTGAACGGTCAGGTATCTGTGCACCGTTTAAATTTGAAACGCCAGAGCTTTGTACATCCGCTCTGGTGCAGCGGTGCAGTCCTGGCTGCTACTTGGAGTCCCGGCCCGGGTCTCAATTTCCCGCAGTCCCCAAATGCAACTCAGCTTTTCCTGCTGGGTCCACGGGTCAGTTTGTTGATTTAAAGGCACGGGATTTGCAGCCTCCCGTTATCAGCGTTTAAGGTCTCAGCGCGACTTTAAACCCTCCAGCTGTACCGTCTTGGTTAATAAGAATCGCTATTGATTTGTCTGGCCCTCTCCATGTTGTCATTTTTTAGCTTCTAGTATGAATTCTCCAGAGAGACTCTTTGCTAGATCCCCTAGCAAGCCGCCATTTTGACCAACTCCCTCTCTACAGTGACTTTAGCTTTATCATACAGAAGCAACAGCTCACATTTCCTCACTGGACTCCACAAGCAGATAAGATCAAATCTTCATCATAATTCTAAATTCCATATCATTTATAGTGGTTCCACTTTCCTTATTAAAACTTAATTGATAACCTAATTCATACAATGATATCAAAGGCTTATGCATTTAGATCTGGAATGACTCCCCTCCAACCCTCATGCATTCAAAGGTGGGGTATGCAGCAGGTGGATGGATTTGTTGGGGACACCTTACTTATTAGTAAATTCATACACCAGTGAGTTCAGCAGCTAAGGGTGCTGTTTGGAAGTGATGCCTACTTTGAGGTGGTGGATCAAAGGTATATCTCCCTCTCCAACCTCCTCCCTTCTTTCTCTGCTTATTGGCCACTGTGATGTGAGCAGCTTTCCTCTCCCAGGGCCTTTCCATCATGCCGATTCTG